CACCAGAGGCAGTGGGGAACAGAACAGGCAGATAGAATGAAATTCACTGCTGAGGGGAGGAGTGGAAGAGACAGGAGAGGTCTGCTGCACCATGTGGGTAGCTTCCTGGCCGGCTGGAGATCAAACTCATGCTGCAGAGGCTGCAGATAGCTTCAGAGTGCTGTGCTTAACCCCTTGCGCCACCAGGGAGGCCCCAGAGGACAATTTTCTAAGTCTCTTCTAGTTGCAAACATCTTTCATTCGCCATACTTCGAGAACATATGAAATCACCACAGAGAACAAGGGTTGCAATGAAATCAAACCTAAATGAGGCAGTGTAGGGTATATTAGAACCAATCTCCATAGTGATCAGTTGTTTACTTAAATAAATGGTTTAATTTTTTTCTTACTAAGATAATTCTTTATTCTGGGTACCTAAATATGTAAGGTTTGAACCTATAAGCCCTAAAATAAACACAGTATTGTAAACCAACATTACCTCAATAAACAACTTGGGGAATGAAAAGACTCTGAGCTGATGTTTGCTGGCTTGCTAGGTTATGGCACTTAAAAGGTCATTAATGCCTTTTTTGCACCTCGTTCTGGCTGTCCTCAAATTCTCCCATCGTGAGTTTCCTTTGCTTTCTATTCTTACTTTAATGTCTTTGACTTCACTTTTCACTCTCCATTTTTGCAGGGAGCCTCTACATTTTAGTGAGACTAGAAACTCTTAAGAAGCCTCTATATTTTAGTGAGACTAGAAACTCTTAAGAAGTAGGAACTAGGGACCTCCTCAGTGGTGCAAGGCAATAAGCACAGCACTGTGAAGCTGTCTGCAGCCTCCGCAGCACGAGTTTGATCCTGGCTGGCCAGGGAGCTACCCACATGGCACAGCAGACCTCTCCTGTCTCGCCCACTGCTCCCCTTAGCAGTGCATTTCAGTCAGTCTGCCTGTTCTATTCCCCACTCTGTCTCTGGTGAATCCTCTTACCCCACCCCACCTCTGGCCTGTACCCCAGTTCTTGTATGCATAAATAAACAAATGTTTAAAAAAAATTGTCCTCTGGTCTCCCTCTGCTAGCTACTGCTAGCAAGAGAATTTCCAAATCACAGCTTGCCTGAAGAAGTTTGGAAAAGTTGGTTAGCTGAATAAATATTCCCAGAGGGCATCCCTGCTGGCCAAGGGGTTAAATCTCAGTGCTATCACCACTAAGGCCTGAGTTTGATCCCCAGCCAGGGAGCTAACCCACATACGGTGCAGCAGACTTCTCCTGTCCTGCCTGTTGCTCCCCTTAGCAGTGTGTTTCAGTAAATCTGCCTGTTCTGCTCCCCACTCTTTCTCTGGTAAATCCTCTCACCCCTTGCACTTTTGGCCTATACCCCAGTTCGTCTATGCATAAATAAATAAACAAAAAGCTGAGAAATCCAAGTCAACATCTGAGATCTTCTTCAAGATCAAAACACTAAGGAGAGAGTTATATATTTGGAAAAACATTTCATCTGTGCATAAGCCATCTTCCTTTAAGAAAAATAACATATAAATGTGACTCATGTCACTGAAAGAAGGAGAAGCTGGCCTGAAATTGGTTCAGAATTGAATAATTCTAATAGAAGAAATTAATTTAGCAGCAATCAGAACTCAGCAGTGATTGGGCCTTCCCTGGTGGCGCAATGGTTGAGCGCTGGGCTGCGAAGCTACCCGCAGCCTCTGCAATGCCAGTTCAATCCCCAGCCACCGGTGAGGGTCCCACATGGTGCGCAGACCTCTCCTGCCACCCAATGCTCCCCTCAGCAGTGTACTTTGTCAGTCTGCCTGTTCTGCTCCCTGCTCTGGCTCTTGTGAATTCTCTCACTCTCCCACGCTTCTGACTATACCCAGTGCTTGTATAAATAAATAAATAAATCTTTAAAAAAAATAATAATTCAGCAGTGATTTCTTGCTAAGATGTTTATTTTATTCTTTCTCTTGTGTATTTGTGGTCTTGAATGAACACAAACTGAAGTATGTTGGAGACTTAGTGTCCTGGTTACAAGGCTATTGCTTTAAATATAAATACAGTGATGCTTGCAGAAAGTTAATTTTCTCTTGCTCTCAAGACTGGAAGAGAAAGGAGAAAGACTGGAAACTTGTAGACGACGGAAAGTCCTTTCAAAGCAATTTGAAGCGAAGTGCCAAGTACTGACACTCTGATCCCATTCCTCCAACACAGTCCTCCCTCTGCGAGGTCCCCTGAATTTCTCAGATGACTAATTCACTTTGTAGGCTTTTGAAACATATTTAAAAATTAATTTTTAGGCAAAAAGAAGCAGAGAAAGGAAGCAGCCTAATGATCTGGTTGGGAAGTGGTTATGCAAGTAGATGTAATCTTTTTTTTTTTAGATGTATTTATGTACGCATACAAGAAGAACTGGGCACAGGCCAGAGGTGTGGAGGGGGTGAGAGGATTCACCAGAGACAGAGTGAGGAACAAAACAGGCAGATCTACTGAAATACACTGCTGAGGGGAACAGCAAGCAAAACAGGAGAGGTCTGCTGGGCCATGTGGGTCACCTCCCTGGCTGGGGATAGAACTCATGCTGCAGTAGTGGCAGATAGCTTCATAGTGCTGACACTTAATCCCCTGCACCACCAGGGAGGTTCCTAGATATAATATCTTTGCTAGGAAATGCAAGGGAAAGCACACTGGAGCAGGCTGGGGGCATACTGTCAAATCAGAAAATCTTACTTGAGGAAAGGCTATTTTCAGTATCCAAAAAATTCCAGTTTTGAGGCCATCCTTAGGCCATAATGAATTTGAGAAAACTTTGCTTAACAAGATAGTCCTCATTGCGTAGAGCACCATGGTGTGTCAGGAAGCACACGTACAGAGGGAACATAGAGGAATGCTCCTCTCCCCCCACCCTGAAAGCTCCAATGTACAGCAGAACTCTTATCAAAAGGGAGCTCTATGCCTGCAACAAAGTGAGAAATATTTCTGGTTGGAGTCAAAATTCAAGAACTAGAGAACTCATGATGGAGAAGAGAGGAAACTTTGCAAATTTCAAGACCCAATCTTTGGCCACAAGTCAGTTTTCTCAATCAACAGAAAAATACATGGAGGAAACCAACAAAGGCACGCCAGGGCATCCTCTGGCCACCAGTCAGTCCTCACTTCATATCAGAGCCTCAGAGCCATGAGAAACCTTTAGAATGTAATGAAGGCAGGATAACCTGCCAGAACGGACTCATCTATGTGCATCCAGCTACCCATTCCAAAGAGAAACCATGTGAATGTAATAACCGAAAGGAAAGCTTTTCATGAGGTCTTATCTCAGCAAGCGTGAGGTCATACAGATGGGGGTAGATCTATGAATAAACCGAATGTGGAGAATGTTCTGGAGGAAGTCAAGCTTGCCTCCAAGGCACAAACTTACTCTATGTGTAAAAAACAGGGAAAGGTTTTTTCCAGACTTCATGCCTGTCTGTGCATCAAAGGACTAGCAAAGGGAAGGAAACCCTCTGTGTGAAGTCAAACCCTTCTTTTGGAAACAGAACACATACTTCTGGCAGAAAGACTATAAGACTAAGGAATGTGCAAAGGCCTCAGCTGCCATCACACTCGCTGTATCAAAAAAGTCACATAACAGAGAACGGCTGTATGAGTGAGAGTGAGAAAGACCCTCATCCAGACAGGATAACCCACGGAACATCAGAGGACTCTGCAGGAAGAGGCGTCCTGTGGAAAATCCTTCTGCCAAAGACAGAAATCCCTGTGGATTAGTTTCCTCACACAGAAGCCCAAAGAAACAAATTTAGGCAAGTTTCCCCCAGAAGTTACAACTAATTGAACATTAAAGAAACAATATTGGAGTATTTTAAAAGTGTGAAATTCCTGGGTAAGAAATTAAAAACCTGGAAAAATTCCATCACATAGGGGTCATGTCGACAACATGACTATCTGTATTTTGCAATTTTGTACAAGCTTTCAATTGTTTCCCAAAAAAATTGGTTGATTGGTTTTTCACAAAGGCCACACAGCATTCTCTGGATCCCATCCCATCAACAATGGGTGCTTATGGATTTTCTCTCATCTTCCTTTTCCCTCTTCCCTAAGTCATTCCACTAAGCGCCAAGCTTAGAAACCTGCTCTCCCATCTTTAAAAAAAAAAAAAAAAGCAAAACTTCCCTTGATCCACAACCACTCAGGACCTACTGAAAGACTTATCTAGTCACACCGTCACACTTTCTCACTTTCCCTTTATCTTCCTCTCTGCCTGGCCTCTGCCCTCATCACACACCGAAGCAGCTCTTGCTCAAGTCACCAAACACGTCCAGGTGGCCAGCTCCCAGTGGGCCCTCTTTGGTTCTGCTACTTAACCTTTCAACAACATTCGACAGTATTATCCACATTCTCTTCCTTGAAATGTCCACTTCTCTTGATTTTGACCAAATTTTCTTGATACTCCTGCCCCTCAGCATTTCCTCCTCTACATGAGTTCTCCATCCACTCTCACTAGATTGTCCCATCTATTCCCATGGTCTCAAAACCATCTGAAAGCTGAAGACACCTTTATTTCTTCAGCCTAGAGCTTGCCTCAGAGTTCCCCATTCGTACAACTCAATTCCTTTCACACTGTTAATGGAAAGTTCCCAAACTCAACATATTCAAAATTCAACTCTTGGTCTCCCCCAAGCCCCAAGTCTTTCCCTCGAGTCTTTTCACGTTAGTGTCATTTCTATTCATTCAGCTGCTCAAGTCAGAAAACCAAGGCTCCCCTGTTGGTTGCTGAAATTATATGCAACTTTTTTGAGGCTTTTCAATTGTTTAAATGTTTCCTACAGTAAACACAGGTGACACTTATAAGTGCATTAATGAATGGAAATTATAAGAACCAAAACGTATTTCCTTTGGATAGTAGGAACAAAACAAAGAGGTGCTCAAACAACATGTTGTAGTCTTTAGATTTGTTCTTAAATTTTGGTTTATCTGAAAAAAAAAAAAAAACAAATACTTAAAAATGAAAATTAAGTTTCATATTACCAGAAGCATTTGGATTTATTGAGGTCATCGCAGAATTGGCTTCTATCTAGAAAAGAAGAAAGAATAGGACATAAAATGTCATCCACTGTTTCCACAGAGCAAGTTCTTAATTCTCAGGGTGTGGGGAAGGGATGTGTTCTATGAGAAACTAGCTATGCTGACTACAGAGGATAAGCAGTGTCTCAGGAACGCCATGTAGTCACTCTATTCTTCCACCAATATCTATACAATATGATGCTAATCTGCTACTGACTCTAATGACCTCCCAAACTTTGTTCCATTGATTAAATACAGCTACAGCATAGAAAATCAACTTGGCTGTCACATATAGAGCGTACCCTGAAAGGTAAATTTTCTGTTTAAGACAAAAACAAACAATGGGCTCCATGGGCTTACTTTTTAATTTTTTTCCTGCTTATAAAAGTAACATGATATAGAAAACATGAAAAAATATAAAAAATCATGAAAGTTTTAAAAATCACCCATCCAGTGGGAACCATTGTTTACATTTTGACCTAACCTGATTTTTTTTTTTAAGATTTATTTATTTATTTACTTATACAAGCACTGGGTACAGTCAGAAGCGCGGGAGGGTGAGAGAATTCACCAGAGCCAGAGCGGGGAGCAGAGCAGGCAGAAGGACCGAAGTACACTGCTGAGGGGAGCAGCGGGCGGCAGTTGAAGTCTGCGAGCCATGTGGGACCCTCCTCTGGTGGCCGGGGAGCAGCCGGGGATCGAAATGGTGCTGCAGAGGCTGCGGGCAGCTTCGCAACCCAGCGCTCAACCGCTGCGCCACCAGGGAGGCCCTCTAACTTGATTTTTTTCTAGACATTTCTGAACACACTTGAGAACACACTGTATTCTCACTTTCACTAAATATGTAAATATAAGCATTTTCTCAGTGTTCCAAGAGGGTTATGAACATTATAGGATTAGAATCTTGGACACATCTGACATCATTTCTCCACCTTGGATTCCTTGGCCCGCACTTTCCTCTGGCCCCTTCCCAGATGGCTCCCTTCTTATCCTCTCCATCAAGTCCCGGGCCACCTTGAAATACTGGTACTCCCCCATGTCAGGCTTCCGTGCTTCACACTCTGACACCCATCTTGGGCAATGTCATCTGGTCTCCTGTTTTTGTTTTGTTGTAATATATTTTTTACATCATTGTTCATTTTTAAATAATGTTTGCTTCCCACCTCCCCGCCCCCACCCCCGGAGGTGTAGTTCCCATAGAGTTTCCTTCCCCAATGCACCTCTGCACCATCACCTCAGTCCCCTGTGCTCCTCCCTTCCTCCCTCTGGTCCCTCTCCCTTCTCATCCCCTGCAGGGTATCTCTGATTTATAATCGTCTGTTTTTGCTTTTGTTTTGTTGTGTTGTGTTTTGTATTGTTATTTTCTTTTCCCCCGGTCACTTGTTTTAAGCTACCACCAGTAAACTGAAGAATCCTGACTCACTCGGCCCTTTCACCTCTCTCCCCAATTTCAGAGATCTCTTCCTCAGAGGTACACAAGCTGAGAACAGATCCATCACCATAACCCAACACCAGCATTTACCAGCAGAGGCACCTAAAACACTCACAGCTCCCTCAAATACAATGTGCCCCTGTAAACTCACTGGTTGTAGTGGGCAGGAATGGCACAGAGCAGGTTCTCTATGATTCTATGCACACTGGGTGAAGAAGTCGCTTTTGCAGGCTTTTACTGGGATTTACCAGGTACACAACAGGCAGGGGTGCCAGCAAGGTGGGAGGCTGCAGGCCTCCCAGCCCCCAGCAAGTCTTCACTCTATCTGGGTTCTCTGGCCTTCTCTGATGGTCTTGTTCTCTGCTGCGCTCATGGTTCTTCCATTCATTCTCTCTGCTTCTCTGCTCCTCCTGGTAGCTCTGTTCTGCTCTCTTGGCGTCCCCGTGACACCGCCCTTATAAGCCCAGTCTCTCAGCACAGGTGAATCCCATCTACATATGCCCACACCCTACTCCAAGATGCCCATCAGGCATGCATTCAGGACCGCAAGGATCCATCATCAATTCTAATGGTGGGAGGGCAGAAAAGCCTAATAATCACTTACCCTACACTGTTTTTTTCCTGCCACTGCTCTTCTGAATCCACCCCCATGGTGGAATCACTGCCCATTCAGTCCTGCTGGTCACACCACTCTCTCACGACATAGGGCACTCACTTCTCCCACTGCCCATAAACTTCTACCAATTGTAACCCCTCATCTAAGGGAGCAGAGACTCCTTCTAGAGTGACCCATTGGAATCGGGCCCTCCTCTTGGTCCCTTCACTTTGCATTCTTTCTGTTCTTTTCCATCTTAGTATTTGTCACAGCATTTTCTAAGTCTCTCTACGCTAACTTGTGAACTGCTTCTAAGTACAGTCTATGTTTTATTCAGTCTCTGTAAAGACTTAAAAATTGTCAACACCTGCTCTATCTCAAGTCACAGCACGATAATGGGAAAAGATTTTTTTTAAAAGATTTATTTTATTTATTTATGCACACAAGAGCTGGGGTGTACGTCAGAGGTGCAGAGGTGGGGGAGGAGGGGAGGGGTGGTGACAGGATTCACCAGACAGAGTGGGGAGCAAAACAGGCAAATCAACTGAAATATACTGCAGAGGGGAGCAGTGTGTAGGGTAAATGAAAAGTGTCAGGCTTTTCTGCCCTCCCGCCATCAGGATAGATGATGGATCCTGGCGGTCCTGAATGCATGCCTGATGGCAGGCACCTGGAACAGGGTGTGGGCATATGTAGATGGGATTCACCTGGGCTAAGACTGGGCTTATAAGGGCGGTGTTACGGAGACGCCAGCAGAAGCAGAACCGTGAAGCAAAACCATGAGAGAAGCAGAGAGAACGCTGGCACTACATTAGACCCCAAAAGATACAAGCTACATAACCACTAGGCTGATGCAAAGTAATTCCTTTTATTATTGGATTAAAATCTACTCAGGGGCCTCCCTGGTGGTGCAAGGGGATAAGCACAGCACTGTGAAGCAATCCACAGCCTCTGCAGCACAAGTAAGATCCCTGGCCGGCCAGGGAGCTACCCACATGGCGCAGCAGACCTCTCCTGACTCGCCTGCTGCTCCCCTCAGCAGTGTATCTCAGTCAGTCTGCTGTTCTGTTCCCCACTCTGTCTCTGGTGAATCCTCTCACCCTCCCGCATCTCTGGCCTGCACTCCAGTTCTTGTGTGCATAAATAAATAAATCTTTAAAAAAAAATCCTACTCAAAACTCAGTCTTAGATTTAGGAAGGGAAGGTAAAGGGGCAGGCTTTGAAAGGCGTGAGGAGAGGTGCAGAGCAGAGGTAATTATTGACAGACCACGTAGCTCAGGAAAGAAGAAAGGGCACCCAGACCTGGAGCCAGAAGCCTTGCATCTCAGGCTCAGTCATTAGCCACTTATACTTGTGTACTTTCATGTTCATATCTTGTTAAGCAAATAAAGTAAGAATAATATGTCTCCCCTTGTGTTTTCAGTAGAAAGCTATGTATGAAAATGTTCATCATGCATAGGAAATTTTCATATGATGTACAAGAAACTGCTAATAATGGTAACCCTGGAATAGTAGAACCCTCTTCTAGGAAAGGAAGAATTTTATATTCAATTTTATACTCTTCTACACTGTTTGAATTTTTGACTATGGAAATGTGTCACTTTTATAATTTAAGAGGAGCCAAAAAATTAAATTTAGAGGGAGAAAATCCCTGCATGCACTTTCTTTGTGAATTCCCTCTTCCCCTCCCTCCTCCCTTGACATCTCTTTAACATCTATTTATTGCAATCATTACCAATCTGGTGATGAAATAAGCTTTATGGGCTCTATCGAGAGATTTCCAATTCATCCCTGAGTGGGATTCTTAAGGACAGAACTCAGATCTGGACACATCTGTAAAACTGTTTACAAGGCTGCTGCTTTATAAACATCCTAAGCTAGTCCTGTGTCCATTACTAAGCATCTAGTTAGTCACTACTGCATTATCTGTCCCAACCCCAAGTATATACAGAAAGGCCCTACCTTGGAGGGCTTGTACCCAAACAGCATTACAACAGCAACTTTAAAGTCCTCTCTGCTCAAATAGCCTTTGTTATCTTCATCGCATGCTTTAAATACCTAAAGAACATTAAATATCTTTAGTTAAAAGACAAGCCAATTGTCCTATTATTGCTGCCACTAGTTTATAATAAATTTAGACCCAGGGGCCTCACTGGCGGGGCAAGGGGTTAAGTGTTAGCCCAATGAATCTATGGGCAGCCACTATGGCAGCCACTACCGCATGAATTCAATCCCTGGCCAGGGAGGTGACCACATGACGCAGCAGACCTCTCCTGTCTCGCCCGCTGCTCTCCTCAACAGTGTATTTCAGTACATCTGCCTGTTCTGCTCCCCACTCTGTCTCTGGTGAATCCTCTCACACATAACCCCGACCCCCCCTCTCTGGCCTGCACCCCAGCTCCTGCACGCTTAAATAAATCTTTTAAACAAATACATTTAGAAGCACCCACCCACCCTCACCCTCAATTTGAAAGTCAGTCCAGCATCAGGACTCGAAACTGGTTTTGGTTCTAATTTTAATTCTCAAGAAATCCTAACGAGAGCTAAAATTTAGCCCCCTCCCCCCCAAGAAACAAACGACTTAACCGCTAGGCTGACGCAAAGAATTCCTTTGCCCAGTGGATTAAAGTATACTCAAAACTCGGTCCTAGATTTAGGAAGGAAAGGCACAGGGGCAGGCTTTGAAAGGCGTGAGGAGAGGTGCAGAGTAGAGGTTATTATGAACAGACCATGTAGCGCAGGAAAGAAGAGAGGGCACTCGGACCCGGAGCCAGAAGCCTTGCACTCCAGGCTCCGTCACTAGCCACGACACTTTGGAAGGACAGTCCAGTCCCTGCCTGTGCAACCGGGCTCGGGGAGACCCAAGACCGGGTAGCTGCAGCGAGAACCCTGGGTCAAGTTCAAGTGCGAGACCAGCCCTGCGGACACCTACTTCCACCCACTTCCTGTGTTCTGAGGGGCTGGGTCCCCTAGTCCACGGCCGGGGTCCGGCCTCAGAGGAAAACATCCCGACCGCCAGGCTCGAGCCCCGACTTTAGAGCCCCGAGTCCCACAGCCCCGCCAGGGCTGACCGCGTACCGCAGGCACGCCGAGGGCCGCCCCGGAAGTCGAACTGGAGCCCCGCCCCTCTAACGTCTTCACCTATTGGGCGGCGTGCGAGCCACTGGCGTTGATCCTGCAACGCTATTGGGCAGAGGTTTTGTTTACTACCGTTTCCCTGGACCAGCCTATGGCGGAGAGGCTCCCAGGCCCGCCCCCAGCGCTTGACTCCGCCCCCATCGGCCCCTTAACTCCTGGGGTGCCGCTGGGGATCCAGCCCTTGGTGCTGTTTCCCTGTGTCCAGCTTGATCCATTTTCTCCCCCTACCCCCTGCAATGAATTGCGCTTCATAATTTTGATCCGTGGTACTGTGCCAGGCGTTACAGGAGACGCAAAAAGGTGTGAAAAAATTTTACAAAAAGTTTATAAAACAAAACGAGCCAAGTTTAGGAGTCCAGGACGTACAGATCAGCCAGTGCAGGGGCTTGCTCTCCTGGGGTTGCTGTTTTGTCCTCGATAACCCCAGCTTCGGGGCCTCCCTGGTGGCGCAAGGGGTTAAGACGCAACCAATAAAGCTATAAGAAGCCCCTGCTGCACGAGTTCGATCTGCGGCCAGGGGGCTACCCACACGGCGCGGCAGACCTCTCCTGACTCGCCCGCTGCTCCCCTCAGCAGTGTGTTTCAGTGGATCCACCTGTTCTGCTCCCCACTCTGTCTCTGGTGAATCCTCTCACCCCCACACGTCTGGCCTGTACCCCGTTCTTGTATGCATAAATAAATCTTCAAAAACAAACAACCCAGCATCTAGCTCGGGGCCTGGCACCAGGCGGACGTTGGGTGAACCCACCTAGCGAGCCCTTGGGGCGTTTCCACCGAGTTCTGTCACGCGGTCCTCTGGGAGAGGTGCGGGTTTGAAAGAAACTCCGAGAATAAACAGCATGAACAACATTGCGCCCCGATTCCATGGCAAACAACCTTATCAAACAAAGGCAAGGGATATGGGGAGGGGGTTCCGTTCTGCAGTTTACTGCCGACCCCTCTTCTGGCGGCTCGGCGAGATGAAGACGAACACGCACCCGTTTCAAGGAAGAAACACTCGAACCCGCTTCCAGTGAGTCTGAGGGGAGACACGGCCAGCGGCGGGCTCTGGGTCTGCGCCCCTGAGGCGCGCGGCTCCCGGACACACGTCCCCGCCCCCGACCCCCTGGCAGCTCGGCGGCTCCCCGCTCCCAGGGCAGACGCCGCCCGCGGCCGCAGGAGGCCAAGTCTCCCCGCGGCGAGTCCGGGGGCGCCTCCTGAGCCCCCGGGGACCCGGCGGCCCTTAGGACCCGGCGGCGCAGGGCGCGCGCGGCGCGCAGGCGCGGGGGCGGGTCCGAGGGGCCTGCGGGGCGCGGCGCCCGCCCTTCCCGCCCGGCTCGCGCGCGAGCAGCTGCCCGCGAACCGCTCGTGGGCGCCGGGGCCGCGGAAGCCGAGCATCCCGTGCGTCTTCGCCGCTGGACCCCGGTCCCTCTGGTAACTGCGCGGCAGGTGCTGCGGGGACCCGCGTCCTGCGGGGCGGGGGGTGCGCGCCCCCAGCTCGCGGCCGGGGGGCCTCGGCGGCGCGTGCCGCCGTGGGGGCGGGTTGCGCGCCTACCCGCTGGACCTTTCCGTACGGCGTCCCCAGAAATGGGAGCAGCCGGAGCACGTAGTGTAGACATGCGAGCGGGCCGGGAGTTCACACCCGGGAGAGCCCGTCGAGGAGCGCCTGCCCGAGGGGGCGCTCGGAAAGTTCGCGGCTGCCATTGCTCGCTCAGCTGCCCGGAATCGGCCCCTGTCTCTCCAACCCCACCGCCTTCTTGCTTTGCAGCCCTCCCGGCAGGGGCCTCCTCTCCTCGACTTTGTCCCCTTTGAAAGCATTGTCCACACAGAGTTTTAGGGAAGGTAATAGGTTTTAAATAGGTATTTCCCTGCTTCTGCAAGCCCTGCAGTGGGACCCGTTGTTCTTGGGAGGGGTAGAGGGGAATCCTGTATTTTTAATTCACCTAACGCCCCGGCCTTCCTTCTGGCTCAAGTCCTCTCTGCCATTGTGTAACAGGGTGGTCCCCAGGAAAAGGGGAGGTTCCAGGTACCTATTTAGAGCTGGCAGGTTTGCCGGGTCTGGGCTGCCCCTCTCCCTGCCCTGTAACAATTGCAGTTGTTGGTCTCATTCCCAACCCCCTGGTCTTCGCAGATTGGGTTCCCTTTACTTAATTGTTCTGGCTCCTGATCAGCCTCCAGATCTCACTTAAATGTTATTTATTCAGAGTATCCCAGAATGTGGACATCCCGATACCCTGTCTCTCCATGTAAGGTGTAATATACGTTGGTAAAGAGGTGTTGCCTTTTTTTCTTTGTGTTGGCCTGTCTCCTTTCCCCTGAAATGTAAGCTGTCCTAGGGCACAACTTCTTCATGAATTCCTCCTTCTCAGTGCTTGGCACACAGCAGCTGCTCATTATTTGCTGACTGAATGAACTCTGGGAGGTCCATGTAGTAGACCCATTTCACAGAGGTGGAAAGGGAAGCGTCACCGTTTGGGGACCCAGGTGCACATTTGCTATTTAGTAATGACTGGATTTGAAACTGGGGCTCCTGTTTGCCTGCTACTAGCCACACAGGACCTCCATGGAGGAAACTGACTTCCATGCCCCCATGATAATCCACAGGCTAAGAGAAGGAGCAGCCAGAAGGCTAAAATCCCACTCCACCTAGGTCTGTGATGGTGGGGAGAGAGGAAGATCTCTTTGCACAGTTGTTGTTTTTTTTAAGTCTTATAATAAAAGTATTAATGTTCCCACTTGGTGGGAAAATTGCTCTACATTTCGAGCCTCCTTCAGGCAGTATTTGCCAAATTTCATTCATTCTCCTACCTCTCCTAGTTTCTGCCTTCTCCTAACACTCTTACGATGTTCTTAATATTTTTATTTGAATCCACTCCTTTACACACTGTCTTTTAAAAGTAAACTATTTTGCTATTATAAATATAAGGGAGGCATAGAATACTTTCTGTGGGTGGTAAACAATATGTTATTGGCACCTGCAGAAGAGCCCAACATCTGTTTTGTCCAAAAGCCAGATTAGACGCATTTTACAACTCTGCTCAAGTCCTCCTCCCTGACTTAACAGAGCATCAGATGGGCTTGGCTAGAAAAAGGTCTGACTGTCATAATGTGACCCGAGTGTGGGGCATCACCTGTGCTTGGGAGTCATATCACTGAGCTGAGTGCATGTCGGGTCTCAGAAACACCCCACCTGTGTTGTGATCGCTGATTCTGGTATCACCACCCACCAGAAGTGCTTTGCCCTGTGCTGTGCCACTATTAACTATAACTAGGCACAGTTGCAGGACAGCTCTGGGTATCTTTCCTTATAAAACTGTGGGACTTGATGACAGGCGAGGTCTGGGAATACTGGGAACCCCAGTGTCTAGGAGAGAAAACTGCTGCTGGAGAACAGGAACACCTGGTTGAGCTAGGAGTTTACCAACAGCTCCTCTTCAGCCAGCCACGTATGCTGAACTTCATAAAGAGGGTCATAACTTGCTAGCTTTAATGACTGGATCTGGTTTTATTAGTGAATTCCAATGGGCTTTTGCCTTTAATAGGTAAACAACTCTTCAGCATATTTTTGGGTGTGAGCAGATCCCAAACATAAATTATATGGAGAGCAGACTACCCCTCTCCACCAGAAAATAGAAAAGCTTTTCTCTCTAGGTATGTCTCTTTAGAGTTCTGTTTTGGTTTTTGTGCACTGATCCTATTTTGTTGGAGAGAATTTTCCTGTTCTGCGACCCCTCCCCCCTCTACTCTGTGGGTCTAGACTTGTAGAGAAAGATAAAACCGAAAACCAAAAATTTTCTGAAGGCTCACGGTTGCTGAAGATGAATATTTCCCCTTCAGGGTTCTCCAGGTGTTGAATTCCTTTTAATTTGTGATTCATCCAGTCTGGTAACCTGTTGGAGGGCCCACACTTGGCTCCTTTTCTCAGACCTGAGGCTGAATCCTGAAAACTCTAAGACCCTCTAATTTGCTTTAGAATGGGAAGCAATCTAGAAAGAACAGCCTCAGGCCTCCTAATACAAGAGTCAATTACTAAGTGCCTTTGAGGGCTGCTTTAGAATTCATCCCGGCTTTCAGAGTAGTTTTTCCGGAGGAGGTTCTTTGTTCTCAAATAATTTTTAAAATCATAAAACCGGAGTCATCCTTTCGAGTGAATTGTGACTGCATACCTCCCTCACCCTCTGTCTAGCAGCTCATAGCGTGTAGAACACTAGGAAAACCTCAGTTTTAAAAAATGACAAAGACAAGAAAAAAACCTGAGCTGCTTTGCAGGTGCTAAGTAGTAAGTTTATGCAGATCTCCTTCCTAGAGAACACCTGACCCGCGATCCTGTTAACTTCAGAATAAAAGCGAACATGCTTGGTTGTACACAGGTATTAGCAGATTAGAAATGGTGTGGGGGGTGGGGGAGAACCTGGTCTGTGAGGGCCACTATTACAGTAGCAGGTGGCTCCCTCCATCTCTATAGTTGTGCCTACTTGGGTTAAGGGGAGGCGACCCCAGGTACTAAGGGTCACTTTAGAAGTTCTTTGCTATAAAATCCCCTTAAAATGTTTCATTTATGGGAGAAACCTTATCTGCTCAAATAGTTAAGTGGGAAATTGTGAAAAGTGATAAATATCTTTAAAATAGTTTTTTTTTAAAGGTTTATTTTATTTATGCATACAAGAGTTGGGGTACAGGCCAGAGATGTGGGGGGTGAGAGGATTCACCAGAGACAGAGCGGGGAACAGAACAGGCAGATCTACTGAAATACACTGCTGAGGGGAGCAGTGGGCGAGACTGGAGAGGTCTGCTGCACCATGTGGGTTAGCTCCCTGGCCTGGGTGGTTGAAGTGGCTTATGACAGCTTGATACCACTGAGACTTTAACCCCTGCACCACCAGGGAGGCCCCAAAGTATTTTTTTTTTTATCTTGAACATAAGTATATGTCCACTATCCTTTGGCTCCAGAGTCAAGACTTGTTCGGAATGGCCGTGTAGTCTCTCTTGACCCCATTGGAAATGTGTCTTTGCCTCTTTAAAAGAGACTACTTGGAACTTGAAAATTGATTGTCTTACATCCCCCAAAAAAATTCCCTTTGGGGCTTACCTGCTGATTGCTGAGAAAACACCTGCTGGGAAAGTCAAACACCCTAAATCCTGTCACTTAGACTGCCAGCACCTCCTTATCTGGAAATTCAAAGTCCCCCCTTTCCTAACATTCCTTGCCCCTTATCACAACAGTCCCACCTTTCAGGGAGCCGCTTTGTGGGGATACCCATCCCACTGGCCCCCTCAGTGGCCATCTGGATTTACTCCTGTGCAAAGAATTTCTTATGACTCAGAGTTTGGCTTTCTGGGCTCCAGCGAAAGACCCTATTTGGACATGTACAATGTGATACTGTCTTGAGGACTTCAAGTTTTATGCTAGTATAAGTAGCTTATCTTTGGGCCAGTCACAAATAGTCACTGGTGTCCTCTGGGCCCCCATGCTGCAGCCCCCTTTCTCAGGCATCTAGGAACATGGTCAGCATTGAAAGACAAAGGGAGGGCCTCCCTGGTGGCGCAAGGGATTAAGCACAGCACTATGAAGGAATCCACAACCTCTGCAGCACAGGTTGGATTCCCCAGGCCAGCCAGGAAGCTACCCACATGGTGCAGCAGACTCCTGTCTCCCCGCTGCTCCCTTCAGCAGGGTATTTCAGTCAGTCTGCCTGTTCTGTTCCCCCTCTGTCTCTGGTGAATCCTCTCACCCCCTGTACCTCTGGCGTGTACCCCAGTTCTTGTATGCATAAATAAATAAATCTTTAAAAAAAAAAAAAAGACAAAGGGAGAAGAGGACCAGAACTTTGCCGCCACTGTACTTGCCAAATTCCCAAAGCAGAGTCTCAGCACCTGCAGAGCAGTCGATGTCCCACAGCATCCGGCAGGTGTCAGGTGTGCCATGTGTGTTGGGGAAGAGCAGCCAAGTGTCCGGCCCAGTGACCAGAAGGTAATGCCATTTCTGGTTTTTCCTTTCCAGAAGAAGCACAATGTCTCAGGAAGGCAACTATGGGAAGTGGACAATATCCAGTAGTGATGAAAGTGAGGAGGAAAAGCCAACACCGGACAAGCCATCTGCCTCCCTTCTCCCCCACGCTGGACAGGGTGCTGCGCAGGAGCCCCAGTACACATGCTCTGAGGCCCGGAGAGCCGCCCACCGGCGGAAGCTGTCCCCTGTGAAATTCAGCCATGCAGAGTCCATTTCAGAAGCTTCCCCTCCTAAAAGGCAGAAAAGTGGTTCCCAGGAAGACCTTGGCTGGTGCCTCTCCAGCAGTGATGAGGAGCTACAGCCAGACAGGCTGCAGGAGCAGGCCAGGAGGGCCGGGAAGGAGGAGCCAGGCCTGGCGGCTCCCAGAGACGGTGCCCAGACAGCAGAGCACAGCCCCCATGCTAGGCAGGGGGGAGAGGAGCAGGAGGATGAGTACGAGACTTCAGCGGAGGGCCAGGACATGTGGGACATGCTGGAGAAAGGAAACCCCTTTCGATTCTACCTCACTAGGGTCTCGGGAGTTAAGCCAAAATACAACTCCGGAGCCCTGCACATCAAGGGTAAGTGGGCGATGGTGTCCGGGGGCGCCAAACTGCCCTTGAAAGGGTCCCCCAGGAGGAGCACAGCCAGAGGGGTTGTCCAGAACCCCTGGTCTTAGCTGCTCAGGGAAAAGGAACCATTTAGGCAATCACATGCATTAGTTTGACTGCAAACTGTTTGCTCATAGCCCTGTGGATAACCCACCTCATGCATGCTTAGAATTGTGTAATTTTTATAAAAAAGTTGTATGTCTGATTAGTGACACTTTATTAACAAATTAGCAAATTTAGTTAAACTGCCCCGAGGGAAAATCTTGAGTATAACTTTTGATGCCCCCAAAACTTATCTACAGCAGCCCCTTGGTATCAGCTAGTCCCTTGCAGTTGCCCCTCCCCAACCCCCATAGTTGCAGTTCCCCATCCATCCCCGGGTTCAGCCCCTGGACGTGGTGACCGGCTGAGTCGGGGACTGCGGGCCTGTGTCTCAGGGGACCCGCAGCACAGCCTGTGTCTCCAGAGTCAACTGTACTGGACAGTGGTTCTCTCTCTGGGTCTTGGGCCAGCTGCGGCAGCATCGCCTGGAACCTGGGAAAAACTTACTCTCTGACTCCACCCCAGAGTCACTGAAACTGCGGGGACAAGGCCGGGCCGTCTGTGTTTTCAGAAGCCTTTCAGGGGACTCTGATGCCCAATATCGTTTGAGAACCACCTGGTTTCAGTTCCTGGTGAAGAAGCCATAAAAAGACCAGTGGGCAAGTCGCTGGTTCAGTTCTGAATCAGGGGCGCCCCCGGTGCCCGACTGCTCCCCAGGGAGCACCTGTGTGCTGGTCTCAGGCCATGCATGATTTTGGTCCCAGGCTCCTGAGTCGTAGTGAGGAAGGTGAGAGAGTGTCTCTGTCTTTCGTAAGTTCCCTTCAGCCACAGCTGGGGTATGTTCGTGAGTGACTTTGGGAAAGCCCACGGGAATTAGGGCCTTCTGGTTGCCAGGTGAACCAGCTGTGCCACTGAAGTGGAACCTTTAGCGCCTTCATCCCACCTCCTGGGAAGGAAGAGGGGCTAGAGACTGAGCTCACTGCTGCTAGCCTGTGAGTGAGTGTATCGCGCTGGCGTTGTGGTGTCTCTGAGGGCCCGCAGCCCTGCACCCCTCCCCGCCCCACGCCACAGTCTCTTCCACCTGACGGTTCCTGAGTTGTGTACTTTTATAATCAGTTGGTGCTCTAGTAAGTCCAGTGCTTTCCTGAGTTCTGTGAGGTATCCACAATCCTAGCAAAGACTCAAACCTGGTCTCACAGCCATTGGAGCAGAAGTACAGGGCCTGTGCTTGTGACATCTGAACTGGGCTCCGTCCTGGAGGGTAGAGCCTTTGACTTGTGGGCTGGGTGCTGACAATAGGTGGGTAAGGTCAGAGTTAAGCTCAATTGTAGGACAAGGAGTAGGTGTCTGCTGAGAATCGGCACCATGGAAACCGTCCCCCTCTCGTGGGGAGTAGCCAGCCTGGAGAGGCAACACAGTCTCTCTTGCACTGAATGAAGGGCAGGCCTCTAACATCCAAGATGTGGGATCTGAATCCCAACCTCCCTCACTTGCTGTGTGGATAATTGAAGGACCTAACATTCTTCAAATGTGTTTACTGACTGGGGAGTCAAATAGGGGAGAAGATGCATGAAGTAACCGGCACAGTTATTAACAGGGTAACATCTGCACAAGGATCTTCACCCTTATTTCCCGAGACCTTTTTTCCCTGGCCCACAGTCAGTGGAGGGTATTTACGGTCATTGTCTAGTAGTTCAGTCCATGTCCTGTGTGTGGTGTAAACACTGGCGTATCTAATGCCATATTGTAGGGGACTTGATTCTACAGGTTCTTTCTTTTTTCTTTTTTTTTTTTTTCTATTTGTTCCTTAGTTTTATTTTTTTTAATTATTTAAAATTTATTTTTATATTCCCCTTACAATTACAACCCCCTTTTTTGAGCCCAAGCCCTCCTTTCCCCGCCCCCCACCCCTCATAGGGTGTCTCTGGTTCATAGTTGTTTTTCGATTTTGATATTTTATTTCTTATAGTTATTCATTTTCCTGGTCCCTTATTTAAGTTTTCTAGATTCCTGCTATGAGTGAGACCATCCGGTATTTTTCTTTTTCTTTTTGGCTTATTTCGCTGAGCATGATCCCTTCCAGCGCCATCCATGTTGCTGCAAATGGCATGTGTTTCTCTTTTTTGAATGCTGAGTAATATTCCATGGTGTATATGTACCACATCTTCTTGATCCAGTCATCTATTTTGGGGCATTTGGGTTGTTTCCAAAGCTTAGCTATTGTAAATAGTGCTGCTATAAACATAGGGGTGCAGGTGCTCTTTGGAATCGATGTTTCTGTGTCCTTTGGGTAAATACCTAGGAGTGGAATTGCTGGATCATATGGAAGCTCTATGTTTAGTAGGTCCAGAAATCTCCACACAGCTCTCCATAGTGGTTGGACCAGTTTGCACTCCCACCAACAGTGCAGGAGAGTTCCTTTTTCTCCACTTCCATGCCAACATTTGTTGCTAGTTTTTTCTTTTTTTTTTTTTTAAAGATTTATTTATTTATACAAGAACCGGGGTACAGGCCAGATGCATGGGAGGGTGAGAGGATTCACCAGAGACAGAGCAGGGAACAGAACAGGCAGACTGAGGAAAAACACTGCTGAGAGGAGCAGCAGGCGCAACAGGAGAGGTCTGCTGTGCCATGTGGGATTCTCGCCAGCCGGCCGGGATCGAACCCTCACTGCAGAGGCTGCAGACAGCTTCACAATGCGGCACTCAACCGCCTGCGTCACCATGGAGGCCCCAGATTCTTTCCTTTTTGAGATTCTTCTGGGTACTTTAATGAAGTAGGATCTATCTCAGTGTTCTTGTTTTGTTTTATTCAGGAGAGTGACAAAACAGAGAACTCTGCAAGATCTTGCTATAAATTGTAAGATAATAGGCTGCCTAGTGGCTCCTTGGTCTTGAGGCACACTTGTCCCCCGTTGGCAGGTGATAAACCTGTGTCTGGAGCAGTCATGGGAGCTGCCTGAGGTCAGGGAGGTCAGGGAACTGGCAGCGGGGGAGCCGGGTTCAGGGCCTAAGCCCTGAACTGTGGCAACACTGCTTCTGCATGCACCCCAATGCCGCAGATTAGATTCGAGGGAGGATGAGGGGCTTCAGTGGGCCTTGGAAGATGGCTCAAATCTAGACAGGTAGAAGGAGCAGCAGGTGGGCAGAATGGAGACACCGTCAAGGAACAGGTGGCAGTTTCTCAGGCTCAGGCACCCACTCCATTAAAGTCTGTCCCTTGTCACCTTGCTCGAGGTCTAGCAGACAGAAGGTGCTCAACAAATAAAGTATGGGTCTGGTAAGCGAGTGAGCCCCATCCTGGACCCCAGCTGCAATGTGTGGTTAAGAGCAGGCGTCTGGATCCAGAGGGCCAGAGTTCACATCCCGCTCTGCCCTTCCAGCCATGTGGCCAGGGCAGCTGCCACAGGCAGACCCCACCTCAGAAAATGGCTATGGGGACCTAGAGCTAACTCATGGGAAGGGCCTCATAACCCCCACAGGTGTGGCTGTCACCCCGATAGCAGCCAGGCTGGGATCGTCTGAGGGACGAGCCCTCTGACCCAGCTCAGGTCCAGTTTGAGTGGATTGGAGGTGGGACTCCTGAGACTGCCTGGAACACTGGGAGTGTGGGACGGTGGCTGCCTCTGCCCTTCCCTCAAGGGGCAGATACCTCAGGCCCAGAGGTGCTGGCCACCTTGCTGGCCCTGTGTGGGGACGTTGCCTGAGTGAGGGCTTGGAGCAAGTGAAAAGTAAAAGCTCTGGGAGGCAGAACATGTATGGTGTCGTCCTTACTGGCAGTTTGTAAAATTAACTGGTACCCAGTGCTGAAGAGGTAGATTGTAATTTTACGCTGTATTTTGTTGGTTAGTGCATAATGTTAAAGAGCACAGGGAGATCTTTCCCTTGAATTTTATAGAACATTGAAGTCCAGCTTTGTAGTAACTTTTCAGTTCGCTGTTTGCTGAGTCAAATTTTGATCAACAACGACATGAATTTAATAAGCCACTTGTGATTGTTGCTCCTAGAGCATTTTTGTCAAAATATGAGTGAAACTGAAATGTATTGTCTTTTGCCTTTCGCCAGATATTTTATCTCCTCTATTTGGGACACTTGTGTCTTCAGCTCAGGTGAGTCTACAATTACGTTTTTTTTTCCTTTGGGTGAAAAAGGATGAATAACTCCTTAAAGTGTGAGAGGGCCTCCCTTGGTGCCCTAGGGGTTAAGTCTCAGCACTATCACCGCTCCAACCTGAGTTCAATCCCCGTCCAGGGAGCTGACCCACATGGCACAGCAGACCTCTCTTGTCTCCCCGCTGCTCCCCTCAGCGGCATCTTTCAGTTGATCCACCTGTTCTGCTCCCCACTCTGTCTGGTGAATCTTCTCACCCCCCACACCTCTGACCTATACCCAGAGTTTCTTTGTTCTTTCACACACAAAAAAAGTGAGGAGCGGGGTTCTATATCTCAGTCCTGTGCAGGCACCAATCCCCACAATTGTGGGGTCATCAGCAAAGAGCACAGCTGCTGCTCTCAGTGAAGCTCCAGGCTCTGGATGGGGCCACAAGGGCTGGCCAAGCAGTCACTCTGGGAGTTTCAACCTGAGAGACTTCTTTATGGGACACTCATCGTCTATGGGACCTGGTACCACTCCCCAGGGAGGTGTGAGTAGAGAGGTAAAGGCCAAATCCAGTTTGATTTGATCTAGAAACACACATAGGAAGTTGTCTGCACCTACCCAGAAGGGAGTCAAAGTTGTGGGCATGTCTGCATGTTTATTACTCATGCTTGGGAGAGCGGGTTCCTCTGGGTAGAAAAGTCACTTTAATACTCCTGGCTCTCAAGTTAATAGTCCGAATAAGCATCACGTCCCCAGAAAAAGCAAAGTTTCCTGTGCCCTTCTTGTTCAGCTTGGTCTTGAGGATCCTGGCCTGCAGATGGGCTGTGGGGTGGAGTCCTGTGTCCAGCAGGGGGTTGGGGTCACTCAGGGTCAGTGGCCAACAGGTGATGGCTGTAAAAAGCCTAGTGAGTTTCTAATCCCAGATGCTGGTTTACAGAGGCCGCCCCTAAGTAAGCCTACAAGGAAATGTTCTTTTCTAAAATTCCTTTTTATGGCCACCCAGGGAAAAGGGATAAGTGTATAAGCCCTTTCATTTAAGTTTCTCAGAGGGCTGCTAGAAATGTAAAACCCAGCCTGAAAATGCCAGTGCTGCCTCAGCCTGCAGAGCGGGTCCCCTGGCGCCCATATGGTGCTCCCCTCCACCAACTCAATCCAGGACCCCCTCCAGCTGTGGCTGAGGTGTGCCTGTGAGCCCTGCAGCATATAGGCCTGGGTTTATCCATAATATTCTTAGCACATCAGTTGATTAGAGTTCCTTTCCATTGAGTCGCCCACCAGCTCCCCTTGCAGGCCTTGGCCCAACTGCCCGTGACTCACCTGCTTGTCCTCCCCCTCCAGTTTAACTACTGCTTCGATGTGGACTGGCTGATAAAGCAGTATCCCCCGGAGTTCAGGTGAGTTCCACGCATGATGTGTGACCCATAACTCACGTGGCTTTAGATACAGGGGTGGTGCTAATTGGGCAGCTGCCCCCCAGTATTTCTGAGTGTTTCTTTTTAACCATCAGAATCACGTAAACACTCATATGTTTGAGAAAACACCCTTTTTGAGCTGTTCTACTCCTTAAGCTAACCCCTTGGCCAAGTCACATTGACACACAAAATTAACCCTCATTTTGCCTTTTCTGATCGTTTATGCAACCGGGAAACTTGAAGGAATGCACGAGCACTTCTGTTTCTGTCAGCAATGTTTAATGTTTTGTTTTCAAAAGGCCCCAACAGCCTGGTGACATTAATTGTCTTGAGGTGGTATGTGGATGAGTGTCTGTTGCATTGTACATTCTCTGTCCTGTTCTTCTAGTTGTAAATAGAAATCCCTTTCCAAAGAGCAAAAAAAAATGAAGACATGTTTCTTTCATTTGACCCAGCCTGTTAGAAGGCAGCTGCTGGGCATCTGCTCTGGAAGGGCCTTCTTTGGGATGCTCCTTTTTATTTGCGCTCTGCCCCTTCGTGTGCGGTGGAGATCCACTCTTCAGTGTGATTGAGAAATGTGCGCGTAGCTGCAGTTGTTCATCTTGCTTGATTGCTTGTTGGAGAAAAATCCAATTTTTGTTTTGTTGGGAGAGCTTGTAAAGGTATATTGATTTCTAAGGATTATTTTGCTTTGAATTAACTGAAGAAGACCGTGGTTCCCTTAAAAGCTTTTTTTTTTTTTAATCTATTCCTGACACGTGTTTTCATGTTTTCCTTTCGGAACCCAAAAACACAGCATTATCAGTGTGCCTTGGGCTGGGGGCATTGGAGTAGAGCACCTGTCAGTAGCCGGCTCCCCTGCCGAGCTGGCCTGGGGCAGGGCCCTGCACAGGGGCAGGTGTGGTACGTGGGAGCGAAGGGGAAGAGAAGAACATCCTTCTGAGAGATAGCTGCATGCCTTTCAATCTACCTAAATTTATACGTCTTCGCCCAAACTAACGTGTCTCCTCTTGGACCAAAGAAAAGAATCACTCTGGGGCTTTTCTTTAGTCACAACACAGTCCCCATGGACCGCATGGCGCAGTGGTAAAGGTAACCGGTTAGTGAGGTTAACTGATCACCGCTCTGGATTAGCCCAATCCTCAGTCCCCCAAAGGGCAGAAACATGCCGGATGGTAAGGAGGTAGCACTCATTCACTGGGCAAGAACCCAGCCTTACACATGATGACGTGTCTTAAAGGCTTCTGGTCTTGTTCCAGGAAGACCCCAATCCTGCTGGTGCACGGTGACAAGCGAGAAGCTAAGGCTCACCTGCACGCCCAGGCCAAGCCCTACGGAAACGTCTCCCTCTGCCAGGTGAGCCACTGCCGCCGCTGAAGGGCCTGCATGGTCTGGAGCTTATGGGGGGTTTGAACATCTGGTCTCTCCGCCCGCCTGACGTAGGAGTCCTCTCCAGGGTCGCCGGCACGTATCTGTCCAGCCTTGGCTTTCTGCTGCCGGGGATAGCCCGTCCTGTTGGTGGGCAGCCCCTGTGGTCAGAAAGATTCTTTTTGATGTAGATTTGCTGTCTGTGTGTTAGGGTTCTCCAGGAAAGAAGAGCCAATAAGGGAGTGTGGGGCGGGTGGGGTATGGGGGAGATTTAGAAGAATTGGCTGATGTGATCCTGGGATCTGATCAGTGGGAGGTCAGTGGAGTGAGATGGCTTCTTCAAAACGCAGGGAAGAGGGCCTCCCCTGGTGGCGCAGCGGTTGTGCGCTGGGCTGTGAGGCTGCCCACAGCCTCTGCAGTGCCGGTTCGATCTCCGGTCGCTGGCGAGGGTCCCACATGGTGCGACAGACCTCTCCTGCTGCGCCTGCTGCTCCCCTCAGCAGTGTATTTCATCAGTCTTCCTGTTCTGTTCCCCACTCTGTCTCTGGTGAATCCTCTCACCCTCCCATGCATCTGGCCTGTACCCCGGTTCTTGTATAAATAAATAAATCTTTAAAAAAAAAAAAAAACCCCAGGGAAGAGGTGGTGTTGGGGCCCCAGCCCACGCCCAAAGGCAGTCTGAGACCACCCTTCCTCTTTCTCAAGGAAGTCAGTTTTTTCACTTACAGCTTCAGATGACTGGGTGGTGCCCCCTATAGTTGGGCAGGGAGGCTGCCTTACTCAGGGCGGTTTCTCCATTAAAAATCACCTTCACAGCAACACCCACCAAATTTCTGGTGCTGTGACCAAGCTGAGTTCACCCACGGGAGGCCCCACCCCTATCTTCCTCCTCACCCCTGCCAACACCTGGCCTGATCCTCCCCCTCTGGAGCCACATGTAGTAAATCTCTCAAGTCTCGCTGATTCTTATATTTGAAGTCTTCTATTCTGTCTCCCTGTCTTCTCTCTTCGGGTTCAAGCATTCACTTTTCCATCTGAACTTGCTGTCCCGTGGATTCCCTTTTTCACCAACCTGTGGTCCTGCTCTGAGTGTGTCCAGTTTGCCTCTGTTGCCCCCCGCCCCCTCCCCATCCTGGGGTTCAGCACTGAACAAATCCTGGGCACACCTCAGTGGCAGTTTCCCTCTTTGAGTCTCTGGTGACTATTTGTTGTGACAGTTTATCTACCAGATTAGCTGTCCACATTAGATGGACCCTTTGCCACAGTCCCAGCTCTTTGTCACATAGGATCTGTCCTGGGGAGGCCCCCTATACAAGCAGGCCTTTTAGGACCCCCTATGTGAGCCATATGCTGCATGTGGCCCAGACCTGGCAAGGGAGCATGAAGTGGTCTCAGAGCAGATGATGTGCCTAGTTGGCTGGCACCAAGGCAAGGCAAACAGAATATGGCAAAGCAAGCCGCTTGCCTGGCTGTTTTGTATTTCAAAAATTTGCTCCTGATACTTCGCAGTCAGAACACAGGGAAATAGGACATGACCTGTGTGTCTTTGATTAAGAATCAGTGTATAGACTCCATGTCTGAAACAGTGAGGTACATGGCATTTTGTGCAAGATGCAGAAAAGCAAGGGATTCGGAAGAATTTTTGACACCCTTAGAGGATGGGTCATTAGAGGAATCCCACAGAACCAGGGGGTGCTTTCCCATTTTTCTTCCTCTGCCTTTTTTCTCATCCATACAAGAGTTCCACCTCGCACTTTTATCCCTTGTCTTCCGAAAGTAAATGTTACCTATGTGTGTAGGTGTATATATTTTTAAAGATTAAAAGCGAGAAATGCCACTTTGATTAGTTTTAAGCTTATCTCACAGGATATCTCCTGTGGTTTAACCCACTGTGTTTATGTAGTTGGAGTTTTTTTATTTTTAAGATTTATTTATTTACACATACAAGAGCTGGGGGTTCAGTGGTGGAGGTGTGAGATGATTCACCAGACACAGAGTGAGGAGCAGAACAGACAGATCTACTGAAATACACTGCTGAGGGGAGCAGCAGGCGAGACAGGAAAGGGCTGCTGTGCCACGTGGGTCAGCTCCCTGGCCAGGTGCAGTGGCTGCCAGTAGCTTCATAGTGCTGAGACTTAACCCCTTGCGCCACCAGGGAGGCCCCTGAAGTTGGAGTTGTAAAACATTCCTTTTACCCAACATGTTTGTCGCTCAGCTTCAATACTGAGAGCAGCTGCCTAAAATCCTGCTGTTTTGCTTTTGTTCCCCAAAACAGAAGAGAGTAAACTGAAAAATAACAGCAGTTTACTAATGGGCAGAAAATGAAATGGCACAGGAATCCTGAAACCCAGTGATTAAATCAATGCAAGTAGAAAGTTTTTCAAATATGACCTCCCTGCCCTGAAATGTTTAGTAGGACATGGTGTCTGGCCTGATGGTGTGCTCCAGGCCGGCCACTGGAGGGCGCCAGGAGTCCTGGCTTCTAAACCTGGTGAATGAAGCTCCCAGGTCCTGGAGGATAGTGGCCAGATCCTGGCCTATTAAAATACCTTTGTACCTTGTCTATAAGAGGCATTCTTTTAGCAACATAGTGTAATTGGATCACTTGTTCCATTTTGCACGTGTGATGGTTCTCCAGAGCTTTAGGTTTAAGTGGCCAGACTCTGTCCCAGCTCTCAGCCTGTTAGCTGTGGAACAGGCGCATCACCTCACCTCATAAGCCTGATTTTTGTCTCTAAAGTGAATTGTTAACGCTTTTCTCCAGAGGATTTTTGTGTAAAGGAAAGCCTATTGATGGCTTCCCCATCCTTCCCTCGGTGCTTACCCTTGCCGGGTGCACCAACAGCCTGCGACAGAGCCAACCTGGAAAGCCAGACTTTCAGCTTTGCTGTTTCTGAGATAAATGTCAATTCACAGTTACCAGATTTACAGTTTACTAAGACATGAAATGCAGTTCCCTACTCTCCTCTGTGGCCAGACCACTCACAGACGTGCTGGTCTGTGACAGGAAGAGTGTGCAGCCCCACCTGTGTCCCTCCTGCCCGCGCTGCCCCCAGCAAACACTTCTGCCCACTATTCACATGCCAGTGCCAGTGCTGGGGTTGTAGCTGTAATTTCTGCCATTTAGTGTGGAGCGCACAAGCCCCTTTTCTTAATCATTTTACAGACTTTTCTCATTGACTCCTAACAACAGCTCTGATTATCTGTTCTAACAGTCCCCTCTTTTTGAAGAGGAGAAAGACAAAGTATTTTCTAAAGTCGTGCAAAGCAGTGAAGACAGGCTTTGGCCCCAGAGGACATTTCTAACAGCTGTTCTCATGTTCCTGTTTGAACTCTCAGAGCTACTTCTGCAGGCCCATCTGCCTGACCAAGGTCTCGCTACATTGGGTGTTAGATAAAATGTGTATCTCCTCCACCCACTCCCCTTTTTATTTGTAAAGGAATCATTTTGTAACCTGAAAATGGATCTATTGTATCTTATTTTCAGCTCTTGCTGTGTTAATATAAGAAAACTCCTGTTTTGGCATCATATGTCTTTATGCTCCACATTGAGTGTTTCTTTTAAATTTGCTCTGAAAACTTTTTGCATATATTTTTGTATAAGCTCAAAATGCCTATCTTTAAAACTTTGTAAAAAGCCTCATTTGTTTTCATTAGTTTTTTGACAGCTCAAGAAATTAGACTTTTTACTTCTAATTACTTTCATTTAAAATGCAGTATTGAATCATTCTGGTTAACTTTTTTAAAAAGTAATCATTTTTTTCTAAATGAGCTTCATTGGTAGCTTATTTAAAAGCTCTGTTGATTGAGGGCGTGTCCACGAGGTGGCAGTAGAAACAGTTTTTTGGGTTTTTTTTTAAAAGGTGGACCTGAACACTTTTCTAATTTCATTTCCAGTAGATAGGGATGTTAAGTTTTTTAAATAAGTGACTTAACTTCTTTTTTTTATTCTAGGCGAAGTTGGATATTGCATTTGGAACACACCACACGTAAGCAATTTTTATGAAATGGGGAGGAAATGATTTTTAACAGAAGAACTCTGATAACATGACTCCCATGTGACAGTTCTGCGGGGGCAGGGGCTGTGACAAGGAAGGAGAGTTGCCATCTAACCTCAGGGTGACAGTCTGACCAGCCAGGCAGTTTCTGCTGTCCTTGTACCAGTCTAGAGAGGCGAGCTGGCCTTGTGGCACCTGGAAGCCCCGTGCCTGAGGAGTCCACTCCTTTAAAGAAAACCTTCTGATCTCCACAGGCTTCTCAGTTCATTGAGTAGAATATTATTAGGTTAGCTCCACCCTGTGGCTGAAAAATACACATATCAGTATACTAGCTTTGCAAAAACTTGTCCACTTGAGAGGCTGATGCCACTGATGACATCTCAGAAGTTCTCTTGCAGGGTAATTTTTGGTGACACTGTAAACCACAGACAGGAAAAGCTTATCTGTTACTTCCTACTTGGGCAGTCAGCTGGGCTCCCGGTTGACTTGGGTTGGTCTCAACGCCCTTTTACTGAGCCCTCTTACACAGTTGATTCTGTAAATGAGAAAGAGAACAAGATACGGTCATCCCTGTTCGGTATTTTTATCACATTTTTCTAGAAAGAACTTGTGTAAGGACTTGATGAAGCCGCCTCTGCCTTCTGTACTGGCAGTGGCCTGGTTGCTCGCCGCGCCAGACTTCTGTCTCCAGGGCAGAGGTGTGTCTGGGGGGTGTCCCAGTCTGGCTGTGACCACAGTTTTCCTGACACTGTGGTGACCCAAGTGAGGGCACTTTTCATCTTTCTCTTTGATGCTTTAAACTATTCTGCCGATTCTCCAGGAACCAGAGCTGGAAAGACTGAGCCATTTCATAAAAGAATATCTACCAAATGAGCTGATGTAAGATGCTTTTGTAAATGTTGCATCATTTACTACCACCCCCTGATTGACAGCTGTGGCCTGAGAGGGCCGGGCTTAAGGCTTGTTAAGCATAAGCAGATGCACCTGGCTCAGGTGTATGTGCGTTATTGTAGCCCTGAGCTCGCGGGATGCCCATCCCCACAGAGGCTGCCCTGGCATGGATGGGGCATCTCCACTCCCCTCTGCCCCAGCATGTACAGTTCCTACTCTGTGACTACGCACTGTCTTGTAGGAGATTGAACTCAGGCCTTGAGGTTCCTCTTGGTTACTTGTTTTAAAAATGTCAGCATTGGGCCTCCCCAGTGGCACAGCGGATTGAGCTCAGTGTTGTGAAGCTGTCCGCAGCCTCTGAAGTGCGGGTTCGATTCCCAGCTGGCCAGTGAGATACCCACATGGCATGGCAGACCTCTCCTGTCTAGCCCACTGCTACCCTCAACAGTGTTTTCCATCAGTCTGCCTATTCTTCTCCCTGCTCTGTCTTTGGCCTGTGCCCCTGGCCTGTACCCCAGTTCTTGTATAAATAAATAAAATCTTTTTAAAAAAAAAGTTAAAATTATTCACTGAATAGCTGTCCTTAAGACACAGCTCTGGTGGATTTGAAGTGACTTGAGACTCAATTATTTGTTCCTGGTGAGAGAGGCAAAGCATGTGAGTAGCAAAGAAACCCTTCCTGCAGGTGCTGACAGTGGACACTGCCCTCCTGCTCTGCTTTCTCCCTTCTCACAAATAGAGTCAAAACTGGGAATTGTCCCTTTTGCTACACCTACACCCCCCTCCACTCCCCACCACCCCAGGCAGCGTGCCGGTCCGATTTCAAGGAAGACTCACTGCTCACCCTCTTATTCCTTTCTAACCCATTTGTCTAGCACCTGTCATTTTCTCTGTGAAAAGATTACTCTTGTCCCCTTAGTTCATGGCTGTGTTTGGTGGAATTCACAGACATTGGTGCATTGTCATTGTCCCCCCACCACCTCCAGTTGAGGCTTTGATTAATGGAAATATTTGTAAGTCTTATCATGAGTTCATAACTGGCTTATTGTTAGTTACAGTCAGCTGCTGGTTTGGCGCAGGTACAAGTCCCTCCGCCCAGATCCCAGACACGTGTTCCCTGAGTGGGGAGGAGCTTGGCGGAGCAGCTGTGTCTCCTCCAGCTCGGCCTCACTGACTGTTTAATAGCCTGGGTTAGATTCTCATTTTGGCAAGAAATGAGCTTCCCATTCCCTTTTCTGTTTTTGTACTCTGTCAGGTCTTAACACTAACCCCATGTGCCCACATAGTATCCATGCTGTTTATTTGAGAGAACCGGGGATTCTTATTTTTCCCAGATGTGAACTGATTTGCATCAATATTAAGTAGCATCTTATTCCTACGTGGAAACAATGTCAGTGCAGAGTTAGAGGTATGAGGAGCGAATCCCTCATTGCGGAGAGAGAACTTAGATTCCTGGTATAATCAGAAAATGAGCCAGGGGCCTCCCTGGTGGCCTAGGGGTTAAGTCTCAGCGCTACCACCACAACAGCCCCTTGTGATGGCCTGAGTTCGAGCCCCAGCCAGGGAGCTGACCCACATGGTGCAGCAGACCTCTGCTGTCTTGCCCGTTCCTCCCCTCAGCAGTGTATTTCAGTGGATCCACCTGTTCTGCTCCCTACTCTGTCTCTGGTGAATCCTCTCACCCTCCCCACGCACACCTCTGGTCTACACCTTAGTTCTTCTACACAAAAATAATTGAAATTTTTTTTTAAAAAAAAGAAAACGCATCATAGGGTGACCAAGAATCATCTGATAGTAGATTACAAAATTGAGCGAGGCACTGAGGATTAGTGGAAATGTGCCATTAGAAAATTTGACATTTAACAAAATGCTTTTCTTTCGACTATACAAAGTAAGAGTTAACCCTTTATGTTACTAGTAAACAACCAAGGCCCAGAGACACTAAGTGACTTGGGGACATTAAATGACACCCCTGGGATCATAGGGCTCCTAGCTGGTGAAGACTCGAATTTCAAGAGGAAAGCTCTTCTTTATATTTTGTTTCCTCCGTCTCCTGGAGTTAAATCAAGAGAAGCATGTCTGATGACTCGCAGCCTGGGAAGCCCCAAGGGAAGGAGACTTCACCTGGGTCTGGTTTGACTTAATGGAGAAGACTGATCTCAAGGCCAGTTCAAGACCAGTCTTGTGAAAAAGAAGCATCTTTAAAACTTTTTGAACTATGGCTGAAAGTTAAGAATTATATCTTACCTTTTTGGTTCATCACACCCATTCATACTGCTGAGTTGAAACGAGAGTTCCATGAACTGATAATTGAAATATGTGCAGGACCCTCCTGTGTTTCTCGTTTAACCAACTGCAATTTTGTGAAGCCAGGACACAGCAAAAGGTCGTGAACATACTTTGGGGAGCACTGGACAAGGGGTTCCCATGACCCCTTATAGGATCGGGTGATGCTCCAGAGAGAACAAGAGGCCAGGGGCAGGTCTAGAGAGTGAGGACTGGCCACATGGGCAGGGCAGGCAGAAGCCCATGGACCACCCAGTCCTCGAAGGGTTTTAGAAGTTATTCTCTGCTCGTAACTTGGCAGACTTTGATAAACTGGCCGCGTGTAGAAGGCAGAAAGGGGGTAAATGTGGAGTTTGGGTAATGTAAGAGATTAAAGAGTCCCTTTATTTGCATTAGAAAGGAACTACTTATCTAGAAAGTTCATGTGTTTGATCCCTTTTCTGTTTGTAAAGGAAAATGATGCTGCTGCTGTATGAGGAAGGCCTCCGGGTAGTCATCCACACCTCCAACCTCATCCGCGAGGACTGGCACCAGAAAACACAAGGGTACGTCGGGTCTCTCTCACTCAGCAGGAGCCACGTGTGCTCAGGAAGCGTCAAAGCCAGAACATTCTTTCATTTCTATTTAAAAAAAAAAAGCCACACATACATGGCCTAGAAGAGAGATGCAGGAAGAGCGACAGTCTCCTGCTGCCCCCAGCTCACGCTCCTAGGTAGCCAGCGCTCAGTCTCGCATGTAATCACCCACAACTAACAGGCTCAGACACACCCCGTAGCCAAGTTGAGGGAACAGCATGTGCAGAGGATCTGAAATGGGAGAGAGGATCCAAAATAAAAGGCCCGAACCTACCATCTTCCCCAGTGAGACCACCAGTGCCTGTCGGTCTCCACGTAGCCCTGTGCCCATGCATGCCCCCGCTCCTACTCCCCAGACAGGTATCTGCAGAAATCCTATGCCAGAAACGGTTTTTCTTTTTCTGAATTAAGTATTTGAAAGTCTGAGGTTCGTGTTGTCATTAAATGTAATATGTACTCATTCCAAATAGCAGCTGGAGGATGTGAGTATATCTCACACTGCTGTGGCATGTACATCAGGAAAAGGAGTTTATTAAAAATAGATTTGCACACTTTTCTCGTAGTATAAATAACCTTTGTTCTTCCATTTGGCTGAAGAGCTATGTTGGTGTAGGTGTGGGCAAAATCTTGCTGGATCAGTAGAGGTATTGCAGATTTGCTGGAACAATTAGGCAAGAAACTCTTCACTGTTATCATCGAGCCTTCCAATGCAGTATAGAGTGAGGTTAGGAGAGGGACAAGGAAGGTGGATGAAGGAGATAGAGGGGTGCGTGGTGGGGCTGGGCTGGGAGAGGTGGGCAAATGCCAGGTCTTAGTGGGTCTTAAATGCATGGTGAAATTGGTGGGTGCAGAAGGAAAGGAAAGGGTGGGTGGTGAGGATAAAGGGGACAGTGGTGTGGTGAAGGTGGAATTGGGCTTTTGGAGACGATCTTCATGTAGCACATTCACACTGACCGTGGATGGTGCACTGCAGAGGCACAATGTGATAAGGCCATGTTCCTTCAGCTGAAAACTTTATGGTGACATGCTCAAAAATAACTCTGCATCCATTGGAAACCTCTGGAGCACTGTGAGTGGTGGGGCTTGAGGTTGCACATGGAGCACGTGTGACCCACACAGAGACGGCAGGGTCATGAGGGACGCACCTGACTCTCGACCATGACTTCCTTCCAGAATATGGTTGAGTCCCTTGTACCCACGGATTGCCGATGGAACCCACATATCCGGAGAATCAGCAACCCACTTTAAAGCTGATCTACTCAGCTACTTGATGGCCTACAATTCTCCTCCTCTCAAGGAGTGGACAGACATCATCCACCAGCACGACCTCTCTGAAACAAAGTACGTGGCACCTTAGCGCTGGGGTGTCCTGAAGAGGACACAGGTGTGGGCAGCCGGACCTGGAAGGAGGTGGCGGGGGGGGGTGTGGGGGTTGGACTGTCCTGATATGCCGCCGGCTTTACCGCGTAGTACTCAGGCCCTCAGTGGAGGCCAGTGTCCCTGCCCACCACTCTGTACTGTCCTTGCACACATAATGTGAGCGTTTGTTTAAGTGGGAGCTACTCTGAGGAGGCCTCTCAGGAGCATGGGCCAGTTCTTGGAACATATCAGGGGTATGTGAGTTCGTGTGGGTTTTGTGATTTCCAGTGCCAAGGTGACAACACTGAAAGCGCTGTGACCTGTCACTTGCATTTCATATCTTTTCAGTGTTTACCTCATTGGATCAACCCCAGGACGCTTTCAAGGAAGTCAGAAGGATAATTGGGGCCATTTCAGGCTTAGAAAGGTAACAGAATTCTACTCTTTCAATAACTTGATAATGATAATGCATCTTCTTTCCACTTTTTCATTCATAGTTGTGTGTTTTCATGGTGGTTCTGGGTAACTTGGCCACAAGCATCTTTGTTTCAGGCAGTTTCAACACCTAACCAGCTGGCAGTAAGATGATTTTGACATCACAGGGAAAAGAACAGCAAAAAAAAAAAGACATTCAGAAGACAGAAGGAACATAATTTTTTTCATGTCTGTAGATTCAGGGCAAGACTAAGTGAAGAACTGATTTTCCCTTGTGGTAAAAGAGAAAAGAACAAGAAGGAAGACCGGAACATTCAAGAGACTTCATGAAACATGAGAAATTAATCACAAGAAACACAGAATACTCTAATGTGTGTGGGAATGTGCCTAGGTCCCCGGCAGGGCTATGCAGAGTCGAGTCTCTGATTTTCTTGGGTGGGTTTGCACCTGTCATCCGAGTCCCTCATTCATTTTGAGTATTATACATTCTTCTGTATTTTCAATGATCAGACTGATGGGGAAGTATAAAATCAGAGAGTGTAAAGCCCCATCACACCCCGCTGTACTAGAAAAGGCAGCATATCAGTTTGAGAAAAGTTGGTTTCTTATTTCGTCAACGGGGAAAGGAAACCAAGCTGACAACTTGCTTAAATACATTATTAAATAAAGTCTGCCGAAGGCGGTTGATTGACTGATTCATCAACTAGTTCTTTCTCCTTTGTGGCAGAATTGCCTCACAGCCAGTTAGTCAGCCAGGAGGCAAGGACTCGTGAAGCCCTGCCACATTTGATGGCAACTTCCCTTTCCAGCATAATTCTGGCCAAGTAGCAGGCAGTGAATAAATGGATGGTCTCTATAGTTTTCAGCAGCTACTTGAGAGTTAATGTTTTTCTCTTTTGTAGGTGTAGAGTAGATGGTTCTAAATGACAACAGTCTGGGCTCTGTTTTTCTTAGAATAGCTGCTGCTGGTATGAAAATAACCAAAGAAAGGTCTTCAACCAAATCATATACCAAAGTCTAATGTTTTCTTCCTCTCTTTAGGAGACGGTGTATCGGCCATAAAAAATTCTTCCTTAGAGTAGCTTTCTTTTAAAAGTCTTGCTTCTTTTTTCCTATCAAGTATTTGCTATGTTAAAATTCACTTGGATTAGTGAGCATTTAGTTTTAATTTCCTCTTTTCAAAATGATACCATACCTGAAAGCAGACAAGGCCTCGGAGCTGACATCTTCACACTGCATCCCAAAGAGGAACAGAGCTTGGTGCAGGGTTGGGGACAGACTCCTGTCCCTGGGTTTAGCTTCTGACCTGCTACTTGCAGGTCAACTGATCTTGGCCTGCTTTTTAACCTGCCCCTCATGTCACCTATGAAATGGTACCTCCCTCACAGAATGGCTCGAGGGTTTCACAAAAACCGGCACACGGGCCCATGAGCGCTCAGGGTGGCTTGTCTGGGCTGGTTGCTGGCACGGGGTGGGCCACAGCTCCCCAGCGTTTCCAGTCCACTTTCCTACAGCAGCGGAAAGATGGGGCTGGTCACACCTGTCTCGCTGATGTGTGGACAGAGGCACAGGGACTTGCCCAGGTCCCACAGCCCACCTGGGGCCAAGCTCCAGAACAGAAACCGGTGGTAATGGGTGTCAGTTCAGTCCCATTTCTACACCACGCCACACTCAGGGCGACTCAGTTGAGAACCACTTGAGCATGTTGGTAAATGTGTTTCCACTTGTTCCCACCTATATCATCTTGGGGAAAATGACCCACAGTAGAGTAAATACAGCGGTCTGAGTGGGGGGTTCCACAGGGCAGGAACAGTGGACCCTTCTTCTTGCTCTATCCAGCCTCTAGGTAGTGGGCACCCCATGTGGGTTGAAGTAGATAGAGCCCCTGGAGATTTCCTGAACTGTCTCTTGGCTTTGCATAAGTACCAGACAAAGTGGGAAATGCAGGTCAGTCTTTGCAGAAGGTGGGGGAGGCGGGGAGTGTGTGTCCCAGTGGATGCTCACTCTTTTTCTTGAGTCTTACTCTGGAGCCCACATGTCAAACCTCTTTCAAATGAGATGAGTCAAAGCATACAACAGTTTGATTTTCTGTGTATTTTTTAGGTATACTAAGCCGTTGACTTCCAGGCCAAAAAAAAAAAATCAAACTTCATTTAGCAAGTGGCTGGTTCATCTGACATTGCTACTAAAATGGATCTTGGAAAAATCCAAGATTTTAATCAAAGATTTCTGGAAGAGGAATGCTTCTATCCACTTCGTTGAAATGAAATATTTTTAGTATTTAAAAAAATATTTCCCAAAAAAGAATATAAAAGTGCAAAATTGGTCGCTATTATTTTCAGCAGTTTCCTTGTTGGCCAGGGAAGCCACGGGCAGAAAAGGCACATTCTGAGTCAACCCGGCTTTTCTGTTCACAGCTCCTGAAGGAGCAGGCCTCCCGCACGCTGCAGGCTGAGTCCTGGCCGGTGGTGGGTCAGTTCTCCAGCATTGGCTCCATGGGGGCTGATGAATCAAAATGGCTGTGCTCTGAGTTCCAAGAGAGCTTGGTGACCATGGGGAAGGAAGGCCGGGCCCTGGGCAAAAGTGCCGTCCCTCTGCACCTGGTGAGTGTTCCTCCTCCTTGGTGAAGTGTTTTTAGTCTCGTCCAGAAGAGTGAGATTCAGTCCTTGTTTTAGTCAGTGCTCTGGGCTGGAAGTGGCCACACATCAGCATCCTCCTATGTGACCAAGTGACCCCGCGTCTGCTGCCACTGGAAGCTTCAGATTAGCCACAGCTCCGTCTCTGCCAAGCCAGCCTGCATGCCACCATTCCCTCCGGCCGTCAAGCCAAGGGACTAGAATTGAGAAAGCGTAGCCAGCAGTTACAGGCATTAATTATTTAGGGTCTTTGAATTAATATTCTATTTTGCATTTAATTCAGTGTTAATTTGACCTTTCAGAGGAAAAATATAAATCGAAGTGTAATGTTTTTTCATCAAGTATTTATGTTTCTTGTACTTTAATTAGTAGAAGTTTGGTTGTGTGGGGTTTTTTTTTTTTCCCCAGCAAGACTGGAACTTTTTAAAATTTAAAGCACATTTTCCAAGTTATTAAATTAAGCTTTTCTACTTGAGATTTTCATTTTCTTAAGAATTAATATTCCAGAATTGAGACATTTGGAGGGGGGCGGGGACGAGCACAAAGCAGGGAAGAAATATAGTGGACCGTGGGGGTGGGAGGGACATCCTGCTCCTGAAATACGAACAGCAACAAAAGCCAGTATTACCCCAATTAAAAAAAATCACATGGTGAAGGATGGAGTTAGACTTTTTTTAAAAAAAGACTTATTTATTGATAAATACAAGAACTGGGGTACAGGCCAGAGGTGCGGGGGGGTGAGAGGATTCATCAGAGACAGAGTGGGGAACAGAACAGACAGACCGACTGAAACACACTGCGGGCAAGTCAGGAGAGTTCTGCTGCTCCATGCGGGTATCTCCCTGGCAGGCCTGGGATCAAACTCATGCTGCAGAGGCTGCGGACTGCTTCATAGTGCTGTGCTTAACCCCTTGTGCCGCCAGGGAGGCCCAGAATTAGACTTTTAATGAACACAATGCAGTATCTACAGATACTGACTTATAATAATATCTATAAATACATATGATGTTATAAGCCAATGTTACATCAATAAAAATTTTTTTAAAGTTCTAATATTCCTTTTAACAAATAGTTTCTTCAACATGGTCCATTCCAAGTGTTAATGTGCTTGTGTTTTCTGTATTTATTTTTAGATCTATCCTTCTGTGGAAAATGTGAGGACCAGCTTAGAAGGCTATCCAGGTGAGTGATGGGGAGACTGTCTCGAGTGTATATTTCAGAAATGTCCTGGTGAACTTTTCAAAACAAGTAATAAGCATGCCTTCCTCCTTGACATGAGTATTGGCTAGAAATTTAGAGTTGAATTTCTCTTGTCTGGTTTGTGTGTGTGTGTGTATGTACACCAATATATATGCACATTTGACACATATGTTTATTTATAGGTTAATGCTGTTTCAGATGATAATACCACATGGTTGGTTGATTTGGATGTGCTAATCCTCACAATGACCCTCTGTTAGTCTTCTTATCTTTATTAAGACTGTTTGAGAACAGTCTGGACAACCCACCAACTGGTTGTCCAGGCAAGACGTCCAAATAAATCCAGGTTCCCTACCCCTCTGTGGCTTTCCAGATCCACTCTTACATTCCTTTCTCTGCTCACCTGCTCTCCACATCCTCTCCATGCCTGTCAGAAGTATTATATGGTTCTTTAAAACTTGAGTTGCATATGCATGTCCATTTAGGGTCCTGAACATAAGTCTAATATCAAGGTGAAGCCTTTGGTTCAGCCTAGTTGATAAACTATTTACCCGAGGGCTTCATACATGTTTGGGATTATTTTGTTCTGTTTGGGGAGGGGGTTGTTTTTAAGATTTATTTTTTTATTCATACAAGAGCTGGGGTACAGGCCAGAGGTCTCAACCTTGTCCTCTTTCCCACGTACCAGTGCTGTTACACTAAACTCTTATTTGGAGTTGAACAGCCCCCTGGAGAGATCACTCAGGAGGTAATAGACAAAACGCCAAATTGTATATTCTTCTGGAAAAAGAGGTCTGGTTAGCATCTGCATATGGCTGAAGGCAAAGAGTGCTTGAATCCGAGTAATTTGGTCCATGTGTTGCTTATCAAAGTAGATGTGACCCTGCCAGGAAAATCTTGATAGGGTTGGTGTATATTTAGCCCATTTGTTGCATTTTAATGGCAAAAGTAAAATTATTTCACTGAGGCTCATGGACATAATGATTTTTGTTTAAAGATTTATTTATACATACAAGAACTGGAGTACAGGCCAGAGGTTGGGGGTGGGGCGGAGAGGGTAAGAGGATTCATCAGAGACAGAGTGGGGAACAGAACAGACAGACTGACTGAAATACACTGCTGAGGGGAGCAGCAGGCGAGACAGTCTGTTGTGCCATGTGGGTAGCTCCCTGGCCGGCTGGGGATCGAACTTGTGCTGCAGAGGCTGCAGATAGCTTCCCAATGCTGTGCTTAACCTGTTGCACCACCAGGGAGGCCCCATAATGATTTTTTTTTCTTGGCCATCTTCCTGTATTTCTAATAGACTAGATCATTCAGAACATCCTTCTTCATGTGGAAGAACATAGCATTTCCCATAAAGCTGTTTTATAACTGATCCTGAAAGCCAGAATATGTTGTGAGGTAGTTTTATTCAGAGATACAGCATGCCTTCTTTGGTAAGTAGGAAAAACTTAAAACCCTCTTTGAATAATAGATTGATAGGGAGATGCTCCAACATGTGTTAGGAAAGTCACTGATAAATCTGCAGTGGGAATTCCCTCTGTTAAAAGAGGAACAAAATTGGCTTCTACCTCTGTTTCTGCTGGTATCTGTTTTCCCCTTTGGAGAAATATGGTGTTTCGAATTCCTTCATTGAAAACATGGCTGTTTACTGAATGTTTTCATTTATTTTAAGGATCATTCTGTTCCATTTATAAGAGTCTGGTTAGCCAGAACAGTCTGTTCAGAAGTAGCAGAGTGAAGGTGCAGGAGGCAAGAGCACCCCATTCTCACACTGGCGGGTCTGCCCCCCAACTATGCTGGTCGAGGGCAAAGACCAGGGCAGTGCAGACTCCCGCAGCAGAGCATGGCTGAGCCTGCCTCCTGTGCCAGGACAGAAGGACAGACCAGGCTTCTTCTGTGGTCACTTCCAACACTTCTAGTCTGCGCTGTTACAGACATTAAATTACCACCCCTGAGAGATTCAGCAAGGCTTTCCTCTGTTCAGACAGTGAATATTTACTCTTTAATAAACATCCCTAAGAAAGAAAACCAATTGGGGCCTCCCTCATGATGCAAGGGGTTAAGACGCAGCACTATGAAGCTGTCTGCTGCAGCACAAATTTGATCCCCGCCCACATGGTGGGCTACCCACATGGTGCAGCAAACCTCTCCCATCTCACCCACTGCTCCCCTCAGTCTTGTATTTCAGTCAGTCTGCCTGTTGTGTTCCCCACTCTGTCTCTAGTGAATCCTCTACACCCCCCAACCCTCTGGCCTGTACCCCAATTCTTGTATACATAAATAAATCTTTAAAAAAAAAAAAAGAGAGACCCAATTGAGAGAACACATTTAATGCATATACCAGGCACTTTCTTTCAAAGAACCATTTCATAAGATAAGTAATGGAAGTAAATTTGCTTTTTTCTTTTGCCTTCTCACTGTTTACTATATAGATTTTCTTCTTCATAAGGAATTCAAATTGTATTTCATAATTTGTATTTTATTTTTCTTTTAAAAGCCGGCGGTTCTCTTCCCTATAGCATCCAGACAGCCGAGAAACAGACCTGGCTCCATTCCTATTTTCAGTAAGTAATTGGTTCAGAGTGTTGCCATTGCTTCGTGAGGAATAGGAATGTTATTTATGTCAGTCTAATTTTTTTTTTTTAAAGAACCTTACATCATATAGCTCTATATTTTCATCTACATGTGTTAGTGATAGAAATAACTTAAAATGAGATCTCAAAAACTTTTTGGAATAGGTTGTTAATACCAAAGCATAAAATTTCTGTCTGTGAATTTTCTATTTATATTTTGGCAGTAAAGAAAAAAAGATACAAGGACATGGTGGGTGGTATAGCATTTATAAAAGCAGCATTTATTGCCTATCTATAAAATATAATTATTATTTAAACATTCACACACTGTGGGGCTGTGGACTCGCTGGGGGTAGAATACACTCCACTCCTCAGGATCAAGGTGGCGGCAGGTTTGTGGAAGAGTTCACAGGTGGCTGGCTGGACAGGTGCGCTCAGAGTCTTTCATCCTCCTGGAGCTGTAGAGCTTGTGCGCGCTGCATGTTCTCAGCCAACCCGTTTCCTGCTTGGACCAACAGACATCAACTGTGGCAAACAGCCAGGAATGAGGAAGATTATGTTACAGCTTCCGGCATGTCATCCTGGAGCCTGCCTTTAATGGCACTTTTAGGAGATTGTTCCTTACAGAGTACATTCTTTATATTGGTCTCTCAACATCGTCTTCCTTCAAGTGAATTTCATACCCTTAACGGTGGACCTGCCTGATCCATTCTGTGCACATGCCGTGCTGCTGGGAGCCCCTCTTCTCATGTTCAGAAGGATAGTTCCCTCCTAAATATAAGTCACTTGTCCCATAAACATTAGTCCTACCACGTTTAGATATAGGATGTCAGCATGTGACCCAAGTATTCAGACTTATCCTCCTTTTCAACATTCAGTTGTGATATTCTTAGTGTCTGCGGTTTTCCTGCGCCATATCTTGTTTCGTCCAGCAGGCTTTTAGGAGGCCTGTGCCTAGTGGGGCCTGGTTGTGCGTGCTGCCTGCTTGAAGGAGAGCACAGTCCAGCTAGGAAACAAGAGTTTCAAACAGGCAGTTAAAAGCACAACAGAAATAAGGGGTGTGGCCCTCAACACGACCTTGAACTATGTGCGTCCACTTGCACTCAGGTTTTCTTGTGAGCAAGTGATGTAAACTAACAGTATCAGTAGATATAGAACAGTGCTGATTGTATTTTCCCTTAAGATCTCCCCAATCTGGGGCCTCCCTGGCAGCGCAAGGGGTTAAGACGCAACCTATGAAGCTATCCACAGTCAGTGCAGCATGAGTTCGATCCCTGGCCAGGGAGTAACCCACATAGCGCAGCAGACCTCTCCTGACTTGCCTGAGGCTCCCCTCAGCAGTGTATTTCAGTCAGTCTGCCTGTTCTGTTCCCCACTCCGACTCTGGTGAATCCTCTCACCCCCACACCTCTGGCCTATACCCCAGTTCTTGTATGCTTAAATAAATAAATCTTTAAAAAAAAAAAAAAAAAGATCTCCCCCAATCCTAGGTGACTCTATAGTAAGTATACACCATGTCATGCATTTAACCAAGATATATGTTAACCAAGGGTTCAAGTTATTGGGAAGGCTTTCAGTCAATAGAGGGCAATGGTGTTTTGGGGGAATCAGAAGTTATTCTCAGATCTTCTACTGCACCCCCAACCCCATGTTGATCGAGCCTGTGCATGGGTGTTCACATCAGGGAGGATGAGGTGGCCGGACCCCCCATCCAGAGTCCCCCGTGCCACACTGAAAGAGACGTGCGTGGTTTTGTCACCTGAACAGGGGCTGTGTGCTCACTGTTCAAATGGTAGTATTTTGTGTTACATGCAGTTTCCCAGCATTAGGCTGATGACTGACTTGTGTCTCTTCTGTCACCAGCAAGTGGTCGGCCGAGACGTCTGGCCGCAGCCACGCCATGCCGCACATCAAGACATACATGAGGCTCTCCCCAGATTTCCAGCAGGTTGCTTGGTTCCTTGTCACCAGGTAAGTCATGGAGGAAATTTTTTACATGCTTGTAATTCTTGCTCTTAATACTGGAAACTAAATGAGTTTCTAAAAAGCAATTTGTAAATTGTCATTGTGTGTGTGTGTGTATGTGTATATGTGCACAACATATCTTGTTTGAGCCTCATTTTAAGGAGGTCCAGGACTAATCCCTTTATAGAACATGTAATCATTGCCTGATTATTTATAAGTCCACATGTTTAGAAGGTTTACATAAATTTTGTGTTTCTGTCTGTTACTTAGTACATTTTGGGGGGTAAATATAAAAGAAAACTAGTATGGTAGAATTAATATTTGTACCTTAATTATTTTCTTCTAAGCATGCAAATCTTCCATGTGTCCTTTAAAGAAATCCCTCCTTAAGTTATAAATAACATAGAATTAAATTCACCAATATAAAGTCTACAGCTTAGTATATATAAAAAATAGTAACAACAATTTAGTATGTATTCACAGAACTGTGCGACTGTCACAATAATCCAATTGCAGAATAATCGTCATCACCTCCTGTAAGACACTCCCTTCCCTATTAGCACTTTTGTGACTATTGTGTCAACCTTGCAATGCTGGAAACTTAGAAAACAGACTCAGGCCTAAATCCGGGTCTCTGCTGGATGGAGGGCTCTGCCCTTTGAAAAACACATGAGCTTGAGTTCCTGACTTGCAGTCTCAGCAAAGACCACTGGACATCTGATGATTTAATAGCATAACTGATGCCAATAACTGCTAGTTACATCATCACAGAGCAGGATCATACCTTTAATAGTGCACAAACTTTGACACTAAAGTCTGAAAACACTCACAAGCAAACAAGTCAGCTGCCCAGAAACAAAACCAAGTCACTTCCCTGGTGGGTGAAAATTGGTGGCCTGACTTCATGCTGGCCTCTACCAAGGAGCATGAATGACCCTCACGGTGTTTGTGGCACAAATCCGAAGCAAGAGAAGACTCCTGCAGGCTTTTGAGGCATCCTAACATGATGGAAAAACACTTTTGAGTCCTAGGGATAAATATTTCAAGATACTGTTCCCGTCACTTACCACCTCTGTGAACATGGAAATTTATTTAGCCTGAGTCTGTTTGCAAGTGTGTGACATAGGAATCATGAGGGCTGCCTTCTGGAATCGTGAGACCCTATGCAACGTGAGGGCTCACTGCCCAGAGTGTAACACCCTGGGACAGGGGAGCTGTCATCATGCTTGTCCAAAAAGGAAGCATGGCGTGGGGACTCAGTGCCTTCTCTGTGCCTCTCTGAAAAGAGAAACTTCTGGAGAAGGAGCTTACCTACATGTAAAGGGCCTGGATTCTAGATTCCCTGGATGGAGAAGGCATTGCCAGGGAGAACAGACATAGAAAGCCTGGGGTGCCTCTGCATGAGGAGTTAAAACCTGAGTTGCTGTGGTGAGTGTGAGATTGGTATTAATCCCACCTCCAACTTTATTTTAAATAAGAACACACTTGAGAAAGCTAAATTATTACAGATATATTCCTGAATTAAGGTGATGAGAAACAGGTTTTGAGGTTACCCAGCCTTCTGCAAAGTTAGCCTCCGACCATGCATTGGGGTATGTATTGTGGGTCGTAGAACCCTCTCCAGAGGGACATGGATATTCAGAGTCTGCATTTCCATTTCCGGGGCAGCTCACCTTTTCAAACTCAGAAACTCCCAGTGGTGGCACAACCAACCCTTCAGCCAGCACCTAAGGAGGAGACAGCACTGAGGTAGGGCTCCAAGATCCAATCCTCTGGGATTGCCACGCATTTGTCTTGCCACTTAAATTTCAGAAAAGTCGTATATAATCTAGACTTATCTCACGTACAGTATGCTCTCAGGATGATAGAAAACGAATGTGGAGGTTACCTGTCAGGCCATGTGATTTGCAGCAACCATGTGCTATTAAGCGGCTTATAAATTTACCTGTTCTGTTTATATAATATGTGACCTAAAGATTTGACTATAGATACAGCCTTTGTTAAACTTGATATGTGGTCGATTTAAGGCCACGTATTGGTCCAAATTATTCTGTAAAATCAAGTCAAGTATGTCCAGCCAGAAGTATATGTTAAAGAAACTTAAAACTAGTACATATTAGCTTGAACTTACTGAAATGTTAGCTGGCAATTTCCTCTCTTGTCTGGTTGCGTTTCTGCAAAACTATTAATAGTTTCTGAGCCTACCATGAAGTCATCGTGTGTTTGATGGACAGCCTGTTGTTATGGAAATTACTGGGACATGATGACAAATACAGTGTTGAAATTTTACCACACCACCAAGCAGGCAGGATGAGCTTTAAGAAGCTGCCTTGGCTAAGAAAGCGCCTCAGAGTAATTGGCAAACCTAGGAGAACAATTATGAAAGTTGTGCTTTGTGGGTGGGCAGAGAGCAGTTGCTGTTACAGGTTGCCTAGCAACTGACAGGCACTGGGGGATAGCCGAGGATGAGCAGAAATGTTGGTGCTGCCACTTTGGGGGGAAAGTAGACAAGCACTTGGCTAGAAAAGCTCCTTGCCTTTGGAGGAAACATAAAGGCCTTTCTCCCCTACTCTGACTTTGAGCAGATGTCAGCAGCCCTTCTCTAATTCCTGTCCCTTTGATTCGGAAACAAATCGTCTCTTTTCCTCCTTTGTCTGAGTTTTTCTGGCGAAATGAAATTGGATCACAAAAAAGAAAATATTTGTAGAGTGGGTTGCCAGGTACCGCAGCCCCAAGACGCTGCTTTATTATTTTTTTTTTTTTATAATTTTTACATCATTTTTCATTTTTGCGCATTTTCATCTTGGTTATATTCCCATACAATTCCCACCCCCCCTTATTTTTACCCTAATCCCTCCTTTCCTCCCTACCCCCATAGTGTGTCTCTGGTTTATAGTTGCTTGTTGATTTTGATTTTTACTTTATTATAATTACCAAGACACTACTTTTAACTGGTATGCCTTTGTGCTCTGTTAGAAGCAGTGGTTATCGGCACTGGTCTGCAGATGGCTTCCTTTTTATGTTAGAGATGATTCACGGCCGTATATCACCATCCTGTCTTTCTTGCATTCTCTCAAGTGGACCAAAGACACAGCAGGCCCCTGTGCACACACAGGGGAGCAGATCTCATGGACCGTTATCAAGATATTGAGACCACCCCTGGGCCTAAAACCTTTCAGATCCTTTGTACACTGTCCCATACTTTGGGGACATTAGAATCTTCATCTCAAGGTCTCTTAAGGTAAATTGGCCAAATGTTGGCCGTACATGGGACCTTCCATTGCTGCCTGCCATCCAAACAGTCTGCTGTCTGCAACCACCCCCAGCTTTGAAACAGTGTCTTGACCCTAGATGCCTCTTTCCCACGTGTAGAAAGGCGTCAGGCTGAATCAGTGGTTCACACAGCATTCTTGGGAGCCCAAAGTGTTCTAGAAGCCTCTTTTCAAGTCCACTGCCACTTTGCGTAGTGGAGAGGTCTGCTGACACTTGCTCTTGGTCTGCTTTAAATGTTTCCTCTGAACCAGATTCCAGATTTTTTAAAAAGTCTAAAAAAAAAAAAGTAGCTCTCAAACATTTCATAGGTCTGTTAAGAGTTATTTTCCAAAGTTACCTTTTGTGCTTTACTTGACAATTGATTTTTTTTTAAGATTTATTTATTTATTCACACAAGAACTGGGGTAGGGACCAGAGGTGTGGGAGTGTGAGAGGATTCACCAGAGACAGAGTGGAGAACAGAACAGGCAGATTGACTGAAGTACACTGCTGAGAGAAGCAGCGGGCAAGTCAGGTCTGCTACCCCATCATGGTAGCTTCCTGGACGGGGATCAAACTCGTGCTAAGTGGCTGTGGATACCTTCATAGGTTGCATCTTAACCCCTTGTGCCACCAGGGAAGCCCTGCTTGACAATTTCCTAAGACTTTCACCTAGATTATTTCATTCTTGTTATAACCCAGAGAAGTGAATAAACAGTGTGGAGCCTGTATCATAAATGAAAATGACACCCAAAGAACGGCCAAACGGTAACTAACTGCTGGCCAGGACCAAATATATATTAGGAGTCCACCGGCCTGCCCGAGCCCTTGCCTTTCCACCATGGACTGGAATAATGACATGTCTCTGAAGAAAATGAAGTCCAGGTTAGGGTTATCTCATCAATTACTGTTAAATACATACTGAACACCTGAGGAAGTGTCATCCCCTCCCCCTAAATCACATACAGTGTTGTAAACCATTGTTACCAGTGTTTTTTTTAAATGCTGAGAAAAAAAAATACTGAAATTCTGTGGTATGGCATTCTAAATACCAATTTTGACTAGAAATTTAAAAAACTACTTCTGGCATTTTGGATTCTGGATGCTGGTATGCCAGCTTTGAAGGCCCCTGTAGGGTAAGTAAAAAATGTCAGGCTTTTCTGCCATCCTGCCATTAGATTAAATGCATGCCTGATGGCAGACACTTGGAGTAGGGTGTGGGCATGCATGCGTGGGTACACCTGACCTGAGAGACTAGGCTTATAAGGGCAGCATCATGGGGATGCCAGCAGAGCGAAAGAGACCAGGAAGAGAACCAGCAGAGAAGCAGAGGCCACAAGAGAATCCAGCAAGAGTGAAGACTTGCTGGGCTACCTCCCAACCACCAGCCCCCCCAGCACCCCTGCCTGCTATATACCCGGTAAAAATCCAAAAAAAAGCCTGAAAAGCCACCGAGGGCTCCAGTACTCTCCTTCACCCGTCTGCTTTGATCATAGAGCTCCTGCCCTGGGCCCTTCGTGCCACTACTGCCCCTATCGTCACTCTATTTGTGGGACCAGTATCCTTTTAAAAACTAGGTTGACACCTGGGCTGGACTACGCCATGCCCTGTTCTGAATTCTGCGTGGATTGGGAAGAGTTTACTTGGTGTCAAATATGCCTGTGATTGAAGAACAAAGTGAGGTTGCAGATAGAGTTCTCAGAATCTGGTAAATTGTCACAATCGCTGTTTGCAAAAGCCAACCGAAAGTATCTAATCTCCCGTAATGGTCCGTTCCCGCTTATCTGTACAAAAACACGGGTTTATCATTTTGTCATTTTCTTTTCCTGTTGGCATTTCTTAATACGCTGAATCTGTAAAACATAATTCCAGTTCTCAAAACACAGCTGACATGTTGCACTTAATCTCACAAAATTATTGAATGTCTGCAGAATTGGTTTAATGCTCGCCATGCTACTGACTTCCTGACTTCACTCCTGTCTACATTAAAAATCAGAGTAACTCTCTCCTCTGCATCAGGAGACAAATCCTCTTGACTTCCTGTATAATATAAAATAGAATCTCACTGTATTTCTGCTTTGGGAACTTGTGCAAGGATTAGGTCAGTGAAGCAGCCCGATGAATAATTTTTAGACCTTTCTACCACCAAAGCTTTCTAGGATTAGACCTGGGTAGACCTGCCTCCAGAAAATTCCATTACTTGGTGAGTCACATCAGAGAGAAGGACCAGAATATTGAAAATGATAATGGCTAACATTTAGTAGGCATCATTTATGTGCCAGAGACCTTACCCTCCTTATCTGATAGAATCCACACATCACCTTATGAGACAGGAACAGCACCATATTTCACAAGTACACAAGATCAGCAGTGTTAGTGCTGATTGAAAGGCATGCCAGCTCAGATTCTGCTCTTACACCTGCCGTGCCTTTTGTGCTTAATTTTTAACAATTAGACTTTTTCTCTAGCTCTTGTAATATGAAAGGTTTTCATTCTCTTAATAAGTTGTATCTTCTAAATCTCTGTGCACTAGTCTTTTTTTCTTGAGCTAATTAGATGTTTCTTGCCTGCAGAGCACCTTCAGGATTCAGCTGGGAGATATGTGGGCTGGAATAGCCACTGTTTCTTCAGAGGGGGGATGTTCCAAGGAGGAAAGGGTTCAGATACCCCCAGGAGTGGGTAGGGTGGGTGGCACCAAGAAAAAGGAAATGATGTTTGCCAAGAGGTGGGGGCAGTCAGTAATAACTCAATTCTCTGAAACTGGACAAATGTATATGATACGCACCTCCCATTATATTATCATAGAGAATAATTGCACTGTTCTAAGAATCCTCTGGTTTCCACCTGTTTATTCTTCTCTCCTCCAAACCCCTAGCAACCACTGGTCTTTTGCTGTCTCTAGTTTTGGCTTTTCCAGAGTCTCAGATAGTTGGAATCATATAATTTGTAGCCTTTTCAGGTTGCTTCCTGTCACTTAGCAAATGCACATTTAAGGTTCTCTGTGTCTTTTCATGGCTTCATAGCTCGATTCTGTGCTGAGTATTATTCCATTGTATGAACGGTCCATAGCTTCTCTGTCCATTCACTTACTGAAGCACATCCCGGTTGCTTCTGAGTTTGGTCAGTTATTTAAAAAGCTGAATAAACATCCCTATGCAAGGTTTTGTGTGGACTTAAGCTTTCAACATCTTTGAGTAAATACCAAGGAGCATGCATGCTGGATTGTATAATATCTTTTCAGTTGTATGAAGCTGCCAAACCGTTTTCCAAAGTGACTACCATTTTGCCTCCCCACCAACAGTGAAGGTGAATTCCTGTTGCTGCACTTCCTCATCAGCATTTGATGTTGTCAGTGCTCTGGGTGTTGGCCCTTCTGATAGGTGTGTGATGGTGTCTCGCTTTAATGTACATTCCCTCTGACACGTGAGGTGGAGCATCTTTCTTAACCCCACTCTCCATCTGTATATCTTCATGGTGAGGTGTCTGTTCAGATCCTT